AGATCTCAAATCGTCTTCCGAACAGATATTTTCCAAAAATTGATGTTGGGTGCCCCCGAGAAATATAAACACACAAGATGGACCGTGCTCAGTTAAACTGTCTTTCTCATAGGAGTCAGAAGTTTCTGAGTCAACGATATATAAAAGAGGAAAAATAACTGTGAGTATTTAAGATATCTTAACTGAATCACAAATTAATTAAGTATAAATTATATTTTAAAATAATATTTGAAATTAACCTAAGTGTGTTTAACTTTGTCCATGCATGGCAAAGGCTTAATTCCGCTTGTGATTTATATGTTATTCTCAGCCGGCGATTCTAACACGCGATTCATCCCAGCCAATTTTAACTCATCTTATATATTACCCTGCGGCAAAATCTTGACAGAAACGGGAAAAAACTGAGGAACGCAATTATCATCATCATTTGGCACTCCCTAACTAAAGAACAGAAAAAACTATAAATACGTCAAATGACACAAATGACAGAGTCAAATAAGTCAACATAATAATATATATTTGTAAGTGCGAAACATTTCTGGACTCACTTCACATGCAACCGAAGCTTAGCCTGTAAACAAACACTCACTGGCGACTGGAGAACAACTTAGCCTGTAATATAGCATTTATATTCATATTAGAGCATGTACACATTCCGCCATGCATCTTGCTTTGTCTTAGTTAACAACCACGATCGCGAGTGCCTGGAACCATCTTCATTTGGCTATAAGATCTGCCTGTATTCAAAGAAGGGAGGGCTGCATAGCAGTTTGGCTTATTCCTTTTCAACTGCACTACAAAAATGACGGAGCAACATCCAATTTCTGACACTGGATGTGTGTCCACAACAAAAACTCCTGCTATTTTGAGTGCCACTATTTTCATAACAGAGATGAAAGCGCTTTTTTTCACCCGAGCTTCGCGAAGGTCTAACCGTGTGCAAGACAAAGAAAAGCCACAACAATAGTGAGAGGGGGTGTTGTAGAGAATCATCAGGAATCGGCGAAAATCAGGCAGACTCTCAACAAACGATGGAAATACGTTAAAATTAACCGCTGCCGTTTGAATCCGACTTCAAAAATCATCAATGTTATTGATGCTATAGGACATCTAAACTTTGGCATTTTTTTTTCTTCAATTATCTTTTCAAGAATTCCCTTGCGGTTTTGCATGAAAAAGGCTTATCCGCCAAACAAAAGGTTTATTTAAAGGTTTATTTGGGCGTCACGAGTGAGAGGGCTTAAGCGTCACATGTACTGAAGTTTCGCTATCTGAACAGCAAACGATTTAAGTACATTCCATTAAAAGGTGGCTTTTTACCTTGAACCTTTTGCTTAAATAATACATCTTGGATGTACGCGCTTGTGATGGTCAAATTCTTTAACAGGCGCCAACATATTTAAACCCAAATTAGACTTGTTATAGTGGTAACCATTAACACGATACCCTCAGGCAAAATCTCACCGAAACAGGAAAAAAAATGAGAAACAATGAAGACAAATAATTATAGGGGATGATTATTATGAAGAGGACTTTAAAACACGTCAATTAGTACCTTTAGTTTAAGATGTGCGTGCCTATTGCTTTGAATTAAAAACCATGTGCTGACGTCTAATCATAGCATCATACAATAACACAATTGCTGAATTGCATCATATAACGGACCAACAAAAAAATAAAATGTCAAGCCTTCTGAGCTTTATCGGTTTCAACCGGCATTTAAACATCTAAATTACAATTTTTTTATGTATATTTTCAGCTCGATATAGTCCATCGTTTTGGAAAAGGCGGGTTTAAATTTTCGTGTCTACCTCTTTTTTTAGGGGGTAACTGCCATGAAAGCTTGAAGTTTGTCTCAATGTAAAAGATAATTTATACGCTGAATAATGTTTTTTTTTTAGCAAAGCCCGCTGTTAGACTAAGGGTAATTAATATTTACCATCTTTCGGGCCAAATTAAATTCCACATATTTCTGTTACGTGTTTTTAATGTTGGTACGCCATACATCATGGTTGCATTATTGAAAAATGTTAGTTTATGTTCGGAATATCTTTCCTTTTTTAATGTCTCCACGCTTTTTTTAACTCCAGTCAATATATTTACTAACTGTTGAGCGAAAAATGACATTTTTCCGGACTGCCGGTGGCGAATTTGCAGCGTTGTGCAACGTAACAATACGCGGTTTGATAGAATTAATTTTACGGTTAGTAATTTGTAGTATTAGTTCATCTCAGACCATAGAGTTACAAGGGAAATTTAGATAAATATCTTCCAATTCAAGAACACTTTGCCGCGTTTTCTGTTTACTAATTCGATCAAGAAAAAACTTGCCCTGTTTTTGTTTGCCTGTCCGAACCTCTGACTTTACTTGGGGCATTTTTGCTCCTTCAGCGTATGGTCGAGAGAGGCCTGATGTACATTCTCTCACCTATCAAAATGAGGCGGTTTGAAATTGGTGTGTTGATTTTTCTTGCAGAACCATAGAAAAAAATTACAGCAGCAAGTTTATCGACATTTTCTAACCAAGTGTTTTGAATTCTTTCTTTTTTTGTTCAGTTTAACTCTGTTAGCTGATGTCAAAACTTTCATTTGACAGGTCTCAAGGTAAGCCGAAAAAAATACAACTAAATAATCTATATCAATAAGTGGTCGTAGTCTCCTGATTAGAACTTGTTTGTTGTTATTTAACCAAAACAATGGGGTGCAATTTACGCTTCATCCTATCATCGCAATATTGCTCGACATTGTACACAAAATAAAATTATTAACGACTATTAATATTCCCTTGAAAACGGAAAAGTCTAAGTATTAGTTCGCTGGCGTAAGATTTTTCGTGATGTTAAGACAATTAAAATAGACGCAAGGCTGTGAGGTTATTGAATTACGTTCGGTACTGAGTATTCCTGTTTAAAATAATCTACAACCGTTCACTTGACGTTTTGTTTTCTTTAACGTTAAGTACCACCTTAATGCCCTTAGTTGCATATGGTTTCCAACACGAGACTGGCTTACGTTCAAATTGCTCAGTAAAAAGAGCCTAATAATTAATAATAGTTGGCATTTAACAAGGCTCCCCGAACACAGGTTGGCAACGATATAAAGAAGTATCTAAAACAGAAATAGGATAAAGAGACAAAAGCTTGTCCTTCAATTTCGAAGAGGAAAATGGCCTTGTACGTCAACAAAGCACTTTCATCCCGGAAAAATTATCCGACCAGAACCCCCTTTATTCAAAACCGCAAAGCTCAACCTCTTTTTACCCCATGCCTGCCTATTTTTCGCGCGCGATGTTACCCTTACCAAATCCAACACTGTTTTAAATATATTTATAAACTATTTTTGAAAACTGTTTTTAACCTGTTTTGTGAAATAGGTTTTAAATAGGGTGAAAAGTGTATTTTTAATGTATTTTTCGACTGACTTTAAAGGTGTTTTAACCTGTTTAAAACACTATTAAAAAATAATTTTTAATGTATTTTAAATTTTGATCAAAATATATAAAAAATCCTGGGCTTTTGCAAAGCTTAAAACATGTTTAAAACAGTTATTAAATACCTTATAAACTGGAATAAAAACAGGATAAAAACAGTTTTAAAAACACATATTAAATGTGCAATACTATTTTAAAACTATTTTTAAAGACAATTTTAAACGTATTTTGAAAAAAACAGTTTTAAAATAGGTACAAAAATATATTTTTATTATATTTTTCGACTGATTTTAAAGGTATTAAAACCTGTTTAAAATGCTATTAAAATGCAATGTATTAAACTATAGTTTAATAGTGTTTTAAACAGTTTTAAAATTTAAAAGGCCTTCTTCAATACTCGTATTTGCAAATACAATAAAAATACTTTGAAAATAGCATTAAAATACAACAAAAATACTACAAAAGTAGATTGAAAACGGCACATATATTTTCTAAAAACAGCACAAAAATCGGATTAAAAATGTACACAACAATTGAATGGCAAAAAACAGCCTTTAAGTAGACAAAAAATAGTACAAAAATCCCCTAAACAAGCTTAAAAACAGTATAAAAACAGTCTACAAATATGATCAAAATTTCATGAAAACACTTTCTTAAATAGTAGAAAAATTGTGTAAAACTAAAAATAGTACAAAATTACCGAGAAAAAGCACGAAAAATAGCATTGAAACAGTACAGCGCAAAAATAGTGAAAAACAGAAGAAAAACATTAACAGTACAAAAACGAAAACACCTTTGCCAAACGATACTAGGCACGGAAAATCAAAATTTCCTCATATCAACCAAAAGTTTGATTGACTATAAAATTATAATAATTACATCTTTTTCGTAGTTTTTAGTTATAATAAGAGGTTTGAATTCTAAAACAAAACTATGTTATTGCAAAATATTAGTTATTTCTTGTCCTTCATGGGTTTTTTTAACTTGTTTTCTTCATACTTTTCTATAAAATAATAAAGCAGAAACAAGCATTAGCAAATGCAATAACATAAAGACTAACACAAGTGAATATTTAATTTTTGAAAGGTTTGTATATTTAGTTCAAACAGTCTTTTAATTTTAATCTGTGGGTTTTACAAAATATTTCAATTTGGCCATAATTAAAGCAGTTGCATGGTATGATTCTTTGAATTCATTATTTTTGCATGACAACCTAATAAGAGGCTATAAGATGAATTACTTTTCCCTAAGGATGACACATTACAGCAAAATCCAAGGCATTATAACAGCAAAAACCCATTTCCGGTCTTCTAACGTGACATAGGGACATTTTTACCAGTTTAAGTCACTTTGAACGTCAAGAAAACAACTTGTAATTATTCCTATCAAATGTCTGTTTTGTCTTGTCATGATTATTCAACATATCTTAGTTTACAGCAAAATACATGATGCTACAAAAATCAAAGGACATCCCAGAGACAAAACCATATACATCGTACCTATTATCATTTTCACCAGTTGGAAACTTTAAATACCCTGACAGAACAGAAACGTATTATAAGCATAAAAGTTAATTACCCTTGTGATAACTGGGCCTATTTGTCTGAAAAATCAGTTGGTTGCATTTTTGGCGCAATGCCTGCATCACATCTCTCTTTGTGACAGTTTTCTTCTGTTTAGGAACTTCTCCCTCCTTAGGAGGTTTTGGCTCCCTCTCTGTTACTTTCGCGACAACTGCAAATTCTTGGGAAAAAAAACATGAAAATAAAGAGATTACATGAATTCGTAAAAATAAATAATAAAAAAAAAAGACAAGGGGCCTGGTTGCTCACTTTATCAGATAACACTATCAATCATCTGAATTCTTATAAAGAGATTACCCGTTCAGATCAACAATCAAATTGTTTCTCCCCAGTTTGTTTTCATTCTCTAATGACTGGCCTAAGAAAACAGTCGACATTCCACGATGCCACCACTGGTTTCCCCGCGAAATGAAGTCTGAGAAATGGGTGCAGAAATTCCATACTGGTGACACATCACTACCCAGATCTAGGAAGTGCATTGCCCAGATCTGGGTAGTGGCTGTTTTCTCAGGCTGTCTAATGATGATCAGTAAAATAACAACCGATACCCAACACCCCTCACAGAGAAAATACGCAAAATTCTGTCACATGAACTTACAAAGCCGTGGATTGTATTTGTAAGTGTCAAAACTATAAAGGTCTTTTTGAAAAGGCAGTTTACAAATTCTAATGCCACTTGCAACTTTACCTGCAATTGCATTAACAATCCTGCGGTCAAGTTCTGATAAACGTTTCCCTGACAAATCATCTCTTGGGTAAAAAATAGTCAGCATTGCGCAGGCCAGCGCTGTCCGAGAAAGGACTGAATTAATCAGTGCTTTCACCTTTATGGCACAGCACCATACCCCCTCGGCAATTTCAGCGAACTGAAACAAAAAAGAACACAATTTCCTATCATACACAGTACATATTAGCTTTACCTAGACAAAAATGTTTTAATCAGTTGTTTCCAATTTTTGCAAGTTTTAGGATCAGTATAGATTTTCTTTATCATTATCAATAATTATAATACAATTCATACTCCTGGCTACAAAAATTGTGTTAAGAACAAATAGAAGTTCACAGCAATTTAAGTCTAAGTTTGTCAAAACCAAATAAATTCAGCAGTTAGGGTTCTCAACAGATTTTTAAGTAGGAGGTGATCACTGATAAAGTAGGAGGCTCTTCAGCAAAGCCAGAGGTGTCAAAACAAAGCAAAGAAAAGCGACCTAAACACAAAGTAAGTGGCTATAAATCCCAAAGTAAGCGGCGATCAATCGCCGGGTGCCGCCTTCTATTGAGAACCCTGAGCAGTACAATGTATTTTTGATAAGATAACGTAAAATTCTGAAAATAAGCCCCTCTAAAATATAAGCCTCCCAAACTCGTAACACACCCTCCATTAAATCACCCCTCCAAATAAAATAAAAGCCCCCCACCCCCCCCAGGGGCTTGTACTTGGAAAATTGTAAAACAAAGCAAAAATGGTAAATTTACTTCCAACTATGAGGCTAGCCCAATCGATTGTGAAATGCAAATTTCCTTCTGTACATAAGCCCCTGCAAATATAAGCCCCTCAAAAAGGGCCTGTGAAAAATATAAGCCCCAGGGCTTATTTTCGGAATTTTACAGTAGCCTAAAAAATTATTGTTCAAATGTGACTTGCACAACACAAGTACGTTGTGCACACATACATTATAACTCTAATAATCATCACAAAAACAAGATTCTCAAATCTGATTGCCTATCAACCCTCCTGATGTCAGAGTAGGACAGTGTAGTAGGAGAGTACATGTCATGCTTAATGAATTGGTTAGAATGTGTCATCACACTTTCGAGTATTTTTCAAGACTGTTCTTTTGCTTCATTTTCAGTGAGTGACAGTAAATACTTCTTAATAACTTACTGCTAATGCAACCCCAAGAAAAAAGAAACTATCAATCATTTCCACATCGTGATGATGAAACTACTTGTGAATGGAGTTGGTTCATGTTTGAAGCTTCTTACTTACCCCTCGTCGGGATGCCTCATTGGCATCCATTGGGCCTGATGGGGTCAGAACTGTATACGAATTAGGTTTTGCTGTGCCAGCTGTACTTGATTTCACTTAAATGTCATAGAGAAAATAAAAATTAATTTGTTTGAATATTAAGTATGCCACTAGTGCATACCTGTACATTCGTATACTAGCATACAGTATGTGCCAGAATAGATTTTGAACAAATGGTTCAAAGAATGCAAGTAGTATTGACATCTAAGATGGATGTAAAATTCCAGCAAGAAAAGAATATGCACTCACACTCACTTTCCACTACAACACTAATCTGACGACCACCCAAAAATATAAATTTTTTTTTATTAAAGTTGACAGAGGATACTTACAATCTTCAATTTCCTGCTTTAATAGGGAAATCTCCTTTTTCATTTTTTTCTTTTCATCATTACAATGCACATTGATGCATTTCCTGGGGGGGAAAGAAGACTTTGGGGTCTTCATCCCCACTTGTGGCCTCTCTTGTTCCACCACACAACCCCATGTTTCATCATCTGACTCTTCAAAAGTGCTAGATTCGATGCTGTCCGATTCTTGGGCATTGCCCAGGTTTAGTGGTGCTGTTATCTCAGCGACCAACTCAGCACTGATCCGCTGAGTTTCCTCAGATATTGCTTTCTTGGCTATGGAACAACAATATAATCAAAATACAGAGCATAATTATTATTAATAGACGATAAATGTTGTATTTAACATTTGTGATGAACCCTGAATACACAATGTAAAACTGTAGCCCTGCACACTAATGTCTATCAACCTGTCCCGTTATGCAAATGTCAATTAACAATTCCGCGAGCCCGAATGGGCTCTGAGTCCATAGCCCATGAGGCCAGACTCAGAGGCCATGAGGGAGAGAGGAATAATTGTTTCAGTAAAATCCAACTAGTTGGTCAAAAATATCGAGACAAAACAACTTTAGCTAGCAAAACGTGATTCAGCCGCCATTATTTTGGTTTTCAAAGCCGGCGCTCTTCGCTACTAGTGGGCTATAACATATAGCCTAGTAGTAGCTCAACCAATCAGAATGCAGCATTGATAATTGACCACTAGTTGGATTTTACTAATATATATAGATATAACCACGTTTTTAACAACTAGGGCCAAGTGATTAACCAATAGCAAGATGTAAAGCCTTCTTTTTTGTTTTGATTAGCTTCCCAAAAATATAATAACTGTATATATCTGTCTGGATTTCATACAAGGTGCCTGTACTGAGTCTCTAGACGGCCAAGTCCAAGGAGCCATTACTCACCCTCCCCACCCATGAGGCTTATGACTAGTCAATCACTTCCCCCAAGCTCTGCTAGTAGTGTTACAGATGATTATGAGTCACCGCATTGATTTGGCTGGCCTAGGCCACGGGAAAAATTCTCTGACTTTGCACTGCTTTCTGACATAAAACCCTAATCAAAGTGACAAAATCTCCCACCCATGGATGGGTCTAGGCCTGTGCTCTCAGCTGACACCTAGCAAGACGGCAAGCCCCCTGGTTTTTCTCCAGCCACTCTGGCTTGAACATGCGCTTAATGCCCGTGTTCAAGCTAAAACTTAGCAGTCACCTTTTAGCAAAATCATGCAGATATATTTATAATATATATATATAATATATAGTTTAATGCCCCAACTGACTTACACTATAATCAAATTTAGGGTAGTCAAACAGTGATATTTGACACCCCTACATGTAGCTTTTCAACTGTCATGTGCATATGGATAGCAGATAGCTAAAAAAAGAGTGAGGGTGTATTGGATCATTATGCTAGGTTCAGTACCCTAATGCTGGCTTCATTTTTATACACACCAATGCACACTGTACTTTCAGTGATCATTGGCTAAAATAAAAAGTATATTAAGCAAACTTACATTTTTTAAAATGGCTTTCAACACTTCCTTTTTTCTGTCCAGATTTGTCTTTATTGCCTTCAACTGCAGAGTAATTAATAACAATTACATGGTTACAAGAATGAATTTTTTTAGAGTACATTTGTAAGAACAAGGTTTTTTACAATCTACCAAATTGGAACACCATTCAGACAAATAATCCAATCTCGGCAAAAAAAGCACTGGAAATTGAAACTTTACTTTAACATCTTTTTGTTTTACATAATATCTTCAATTGATTTGTGGTAATTGCTGTGATTTAAGACATGCAATTTTGAAATAGATGCATTCCTCAAAAGTTATAACACCTCCCTTGAATAAATGCCCATCAGAATGCTAAAAGTGTTTTAATCCTGCAGTGTTTAATCATTTATGGCTGTGGTTGCTTTTCCTTTGTGGTTAATATATGAGTGTTCCATTACATAAGTACCTAGCAAATCTTCTATGCTTTTATCATAAAAGAAAATGACTTTTTATACCTTTATGTTTTTTCTTTGGTGGCAAGGATTTTTTAACAGCTGTGAGTAATAAAAAACAATATTGGTTGACACACAAGTACATGAGGATTCATAATACAGTTGACAGCTCCTTTATTTTTTACTGAAATGTACTTCTTGGTCATGATCATGTATTATTTTTATTTTAAATGCAGACTAGCTAGTTTCAAAAAAGGCCTTCATCAGTAGTATGGTACCTTCCCTTTCTTGCCCATATATATTAATTTTTGAAGACATCATAATATTTACTTGCTAAGACACTTAATAAGGTTATTGCTCCCTCAAAGTCCATAATTTAACCGGGCTTGACTGTACAACATATCACAGTCGACAATGTTACAAATACCTTTTGCCTTCCTTTTTAATTTTTCCGCATCCAACTTCTTTTGACCTGAAACAAACAAATCATTTCAAAAAATTTCAGCAAGAAGAAAATATCAAAACAGTAGATCTAAGAAATACATTCTCCGGCAATAGAGAAGATCCTATTCTGTTCCATATCACAACTGCGAATGGCATCTGCCAGTAGAAGAATAAGCTACGGTGAGTTAACTTACTTAATGAAGATGTCTCTGTACAGTGCTCAATACGAATTTCACTGTGAATATATGCATGTGTCCAGTCGGCGATTGGTACTTCATTTCGTTCCATGGTTTGATTGTTCTCCAAGCGAGATTAACGATATTTATGTTTTGATCGTCCCACGTTTAAAAAGGCTAGAAAAAGACTCTTACTTGAGAAGAAAGACGTTCTGGTCAAGAGTTTATGAAATGGATTTACAATACATTTGCCCGAATCTAATAGTGGCGCTGGACACGAATACTTTACCAGATAAAGCCAAAACAACCGCAAACATCGAGCTATGAAATAGCATTGACAAGAGCAATTTGAATATTTCTCTTACCTCGAAAAAGGACACTTGGACGTTTAATAGCAGATCAGAACAGTTCAATAAAGACTGATGTGGTATTTCGACGTTCACGACAAGAATGTGATAGCACATGAGAGTTGCCGCGCAAGGAGGTTGGTTTTGATGCAAACAGCCCGCGCTTTTTTGTGATTGGTTCTTTTCTTCTAATCCGCATTTCACGAGGGCAGCACGAGAAGACCATACAATGCGCTTACGCGCCATTGCCTGATTTCATACCGTGGGAGCCTGGCACTAGTTATCCGTTTTGCCGGACGGAAGTGAAAAAAGATGGCGGGAAATGTGAAAGAAGACTCGCCCAAAATGGCTTTTGCAGCAGTAAAAAAAGTCATAAATGATGATTGCCTTGAATCGCTCAACACAAAAAACTTGGGAGAACTTTGTAATAGTCTTAAACTTAAAGCTTCCGGGACTAAAAGTGAATTGTTACAAAGATTGCTACCATTTAAAGATGACCCGGCTTTGCTCGACAACAGAGTGAAGAACATCTCTGTGAAGTACAGCTTTACAACAGCCCTATCGAGACAGGAGATCCCACCACCAACAGCTGGATGGAAATGCAATACTTCTCTCTTTCCCAAGATTTCAAAAGACGTTATCAAGACATATCAGTCTAATAAACGACAGGGAATGATAGGACAATTTCGCAAAGCTCATCGAATGTTTTCTTCAAGACGAATGAAAACCATCAAGGTTTTCCAAAATGGTAGCCAGTTATTTGTCAAGTCAAGCATATTGAAAAGCTTTTCTTCTGAAGTTACACGAACTGCAACTGTCTTGTTCATTGACAATGTTCCCAAGAAAGGTTTTTGCGAATGTGCTGTCGGAAAGTGTGGTCTCTGTTGTCATGTTATCGTTATACTGCTACAGTTAGAACACTTCACAACACATAAAAAGCTGTTTTTGTCTTTGACCTGTACAGAGAAGCTTCAAAAGTGGCATCGACCAAATTTAAAGAAAGGGAAAGAGCTAAAAGCTAACTTGAAGGCTGCTGCTCATATCAGACTGAAATATTTTAGAAATGCCAAATCAGCAAGACATGTAAATTAAAGAACAAAGAAGAAAGTTGTAGCTAGAGGTGTAAGTGATGAAAACAGTGACTGGCTGAAACGAGATATTTCCTCCATGAGCTCTCAAGTAGTAGATGGCCTGTCTAAATGCAGAATCAATTTATCAAATCATTTTCTTAAAACTCTAGAGAAATTTAAAATAAGACACTCAGGATTGTATCGCCATTTGTCTTACAAAAATGCTTATCTGAACAGAGTGATACAAAATGAACATGACTACACAAAACTAAATCCTCCAGCAAACCTGGAACAAAACTCCAAAACACCTTCTGAGTGTGAGGATAAATGGCACTCTTCATTGATAGCCAATTCTAACAACTTCAACCAAGATAATTGCACAGTGGGACAGCCTACTTCAGAATGTCAAGAGCAAACATTTTGTGCAGATAAAACTCAAGAGTTGTTAGAATTGCTTACAAACTCTAAAGATGAGATTATAACTGTTAAGGTCCCTCAGCTTAAAGAAGTCAGACTAACTACAAGTGCAAGATACATTGATGTTCAACAAGGCACTTCTGATTGGCTTAACCTGAGGACGGGGTAATAACAACAAGTAAACTACCATCACTCCTGGGTTTTCATGGAAACAAAGAGTTTGATTCATCATGGTTTTATATTTTAAACAAGATAGATGAAAGTAAATGTAAACCAAAGCAATACAGAAACTTTCAAAGAGGAAACTACTATGAAAAAGAAGCTTTAGAGCACTTTCAGAAACTCTCTGGTAAGTCAGTTTATTCGAAAATATTAATAGTAACATAATACTCTAAAATTTAGCAAATAAGTATATTATCAGCATATCATGCAGTTAATCATGTACATAACATAATCAAATAGGAATACACTTACGTGAACATAAATGTAAGCACAAAAATTAATGTAAGTTTCAGTAATCATGAATTGATTTCTATTTTTTCCTACAGGTGTCCCAGTCTCAAGTTGTGGGTTTTTCAGACATCCATCAGACACAAACTATGGAGCAAGTCCTGATGGTATTTCAGAAGCATTTCTTGTTGAGGTCAAGACAAGAGCAGAAAACTCTGAAGCCCCATTAGACAAAATCACAGGCTCACATATTATTCAAGCAAATTTTCAGATGTCTTGTGCAGGAGCAAATCTTGTATTTTTGCAATCTTATCTCCCTGAAAAGAAAAGTTCAAATATATTTTTCATACCCAGAAATGACCTGCTTATAGATGTCTTAAAAGAAATAACTGATCATAATTATTTTACATCACAAAATTGTAAGTAAGTGGGATTATGAAGAGAATAACCATCTCTCTGAACTTGGAAAGAACTTATTAAATACTGTTCCTAGCTTTGACACATTACGTCAATTCCGTAAGTGGGTAAACCAAATGACAAAGCATATAAAGAAGGTAGTCTTTGTTAAAACATAGTCATGTAATATCAACAGAGTTTTTTGGAACTAGTTGTAGTTGTTTTATTTTGGTCCAACTGGTTTTTTTAACATATTAACAATATGTGCAAATATTTGGAAACAGCAACCAAGTAAATCAATTCTTGAGCTTGGCCAAGTTTTGCTTAGAATTTGCCAATCTCTGATTCTTCCTATGTAGTTTTCAATGTAGATCCTTAATGTTGCAATGTCAAAGTTCTTTACTACCTCAGTCTCATCAAATTGATGAGAAAATTTCATTGGAGGTCTATTGTGTAACAGGCCTTTCTCATGACAAATATCAGTGATATTAAAGCCCTTATCAGTCATAACTGTCTTCCCTTTTGTAACTGTATCTAGCACACATGATTGCTCTGTTATGTCAGCATCACTAATGCTGCCAGGAAATGCATCGGTACATTTGAGTAAAAAACCAGGAGGAAGGGTCCACAAACATATCTTCCCTGTAGTGTGGTTCTTGTAGTTCGAGAATGTAATATTATTAATATCAAAGTTCTCTGATTGGCAGATCCAAATTTCAGTTGCATCCCCTATGAGAGCAGTATCACCATATCCTGACTCCATAAAACATTTTGGCATATAGTCATTCAAAAATCCAGGTAATGGGGTCAGGTCAATAGACTCAAAAATGGTGCTCAGGAATACACACCATCCTACAAAAATTCTACTCATAGTTGAGATACTTGAACCAGTCATCCATGCAATAACACCAAGGTCCAATGCATGTCTACAAATTGTCAAGAAACTGATAAGTTCTGTCTTTGTGTCCAGCTTTCTAAGATGGGACGAGTCGTCATTGTTACAATCAGGATAAACAATTGTGTGCAAGAAAGGCTCCAAACATTCATATAGACAATCTAATTCGGAAAGTGTTAATCCTGTCATGTAGTAAATTCTATCTGGGTATCTCATGAGTGCTTCATAACTAAAAGTTTGGCCTTCGAGTGCTTTCTTCATTGCATTGAGTTGCTGACTGTTGTTCGCAGCATTTTTTTCAAGTTCTGTTTGAGTCTTTGACAGCTGTTGCTGTAAATCTTCAATCAAAGCCTTTTTTCCATTTAGTTCTCTCGTCAAACTTTCCACTTGACTTTTAAGCTTCTGATTTTCTTTTTCTACGTTCGCAGCTGAAACCCGTCGCTTTTTAACTCGCGGTACGGGAGTTTCACTCCTGTCTTTCGGGGGTTTCCTTGGAGTACTCCTCACGGTATTGGCATTCGACGAAGTAAGAACCGTTTTTGTACAGTCAATTTTCCTTTTCAATTCCCTAGATGGTTTTTGGGAGTACTCTTTTTCCAGATTAGCAGCATATTCTTTTGTACAAATTATGTCTGGCAATTGATTCTTGTTCTCTCGTTTCCCTGAGCTCCAATGGGCGCTGCATATAACATGTTTTCTCCAGTTAATATTTTCGTTCATAAGAACTTTCCTATATCCTTTTTGAAGCTCAGGATCGCTGGGCAAAGTGTAGTACGTTATTCCTTTAGTTCTGTAATTATTCGTACACAAAGAACTGGCACAATTCCAATGCCAAGTTTTCGTGTAAGTCGCCATCTCTACGCCATTAAACTGAAGTGCACTTCCGTCCGGCAAAACCGATAACTAGTGCCAGGCTCCCACGGTATGAAATCAGGCAATGAGCGGAGTCGCGGAGAGAAAACAAGATGTCTTCCACGCGGGAAACGTTACATGGCTTGGATCTGAACGAGCGTCCGAGTCCAATTAAAAAGAGACTCGGTGACCTGACAGTTCGAGAGAGTAGTATATTAGCAGATAACGATTATGTGGATATACGATTAGAAACAGACCACGAACACAAGCGGAAAAGGAAAAAGACTCACTCCTCGAAGCCACCAGAATCTCCTTCTACCAGTTCGCCCGATTATTTAAGCTCAAGTTTTGATTCCCCTACCAGCCAGAAAGGTAAGCTCAAGCATGTTTAAGTTCTTAAAAAATTCTGAAAACTAAGAACATTTTGACTTTGCCTCCATCTGTTGCAGCTAAAGATTCACCTCAGGATTGTGGTCTTGATGAAGGCCCATGTGCTGACCATTGGACCTTGCAGGGAGAGTTGTCCCCTGAATATTTGCAAGTTGATGGACGTGAGTATTGCCTGACAAATGAATTAGCTTTATAAACTAAGTTTGTGTTGAGTAGGAAAAGGAATTGCCAACGTTTATATAGTACTCGCTTTCACTGTTGGAGTGAATATCTCCGGGTGAATATCTAAACAGACCTTGTCACGGTTTTCGATGCCATCTTGACGAATAGGCAAACGTGTGAGAAATTACAGTGTTTGTTAGAGAATCTAATGTAGAATTAATTTCCGTAGAACGGCTGTTCTGAAAAAGAATATATGAATTGTAAACTAAACCTTCACTCCTGAGGATTCCACGGGAAAAAATTGAGGGCGTTACATGTGTTAGAAGACCTACAGTCTCAGACAAAAATAGTTGGGACACTTTAGCCAAACGCTGTTTTTTCCCTTCTCGTGCTCACCTCGTCCCTCTCAAAGTTGTTTATCGCGGTTTGGTCACCAAATCTTGTACACCAACATTGAGGGGACAAGGAGACCCCAAAGTGTCCCAACCATTTTGACTGAGACTGTATTTTAGAGGAATTTTAGGTATGTGACTCCTAGTTGGCTCTAGTGGCGGGAAATCGCTAGGCAGGTATATGCACGTTTCGGAGCCATTTTTTCGGGAAAAAACATTAGAGATTTCACGGATAGAAAGAGAGAAGACAATCAATAGAGGAAAGAAGTCTTTGTTTCTTTAATTACAACATTCAAGTATTAAAAAAGTTTTCTACGTATTGGGTTTAAAGAGTGAACAACAGTTGAGTCAAAACTGCGCGCATTATTTCGCAGGCTTGTATCTTGCCGCTTAAATATATTATACCGGTGGAGGCACGATTAGACGGGTCACCATAACAGGTCACCATACTATCCAGGGCATTTTCTAAGACCTCTCTGGTATATACAAAGGATTAAGAAAGAAAAGGATAAGGGACTTTCACACTTAATTGAAATAGCTAAGGTTTATAGTGCCTTGATACATGTAAGACAAGTTATTAAAACTTTGATCATGGTGACACGATTGTTCGCTGAAAGAAACTTATAATATCTTAATTGAATTAATGCACGGTGACCCGTGTACACGTCGAGTATAACGCTTTTTTTGGAGGTTTTAAGGATAGGTACTGTCCTCGTTTGATATGATTCATGTTTTGGACCTCAAGTCCCACATTTATGGCACAGTAGTTTGTTTTAGAGCTCTTCAGGAAAGTGTATATTTGGGGTAAAGAATGAGAACCGATGTCACCATTTGGCGCAAGGCCAAATTAACATATGTTGTAAGCAAGTTATAAAAAGTTGTCGATTTCACAGCAGTAGCCTGGAATATCATTAAGAAACTTTTTGGCGCCGGACCAAACAGTTACACTATTGTTGGACACCCTTTTTACGCTTGTAGTCCTGAATAGTATCTTTAGAAATTTAGAAAGCGGGATACTGTTCTCGCTGATACGTTTTTGGGAATAATCCTGGCTTGTTGCATTTTCCTCCAAACTGGAGAAAAAGTTTCCCCCTTTCTCTTGACATCGCTTAATCGCTCTTTTCGGCTGTCTTTCGCCTCTTGCCGTTAAGTTAGAAAGGCGTCCCTTTGAGCCTTGTTCCTATACTCTTTCTTGGCAAAGAGACCTTCTTTGTTATTTTCCACACATTTTTTCCAGAATGTGGCACATTCGGCGCCTCCAGATATCGAAAAGCCCCGAATCTTACGTGAGATAGCCATGCACGTGCTATGTTGTCACGCTACCAATCGGCCACAAGAAAGCTATTTGTGTACGACTTACTGCACACTCAGTTCCCTTTATTTTCCAATACTCTACTCTGTTCAAGAAATTTCTGCGAACTGGTCATTCTTTGTGTTATGTTGTTATGCCCAAATAACTTAGTTCACTGCTATAGAAACGTTCGCGAAACACAATGGACGCCCAACAAACCAAAAACCCGTCGCTTTTGACCGACCTACAGATTAACCTCTATATCTGTCAACGCGCCTTCAAATTCCTCCCCGACACAGTCTCAGACAAAAATAGTTGGGACACTTTAGCCAAACGCTGTTTTTTCCCTTCTCGTACTCACCTCGTCCCTCTCAAAGTTGTTTATCGCGGTTTGGTCACCAAATCTTGTACACCAACATTGAGGGGACAAGGAGACCCCAAAGTGTCCCAACCATTTTGACTGAGACTGTAGCTAGAACCACTTTTTAAAATTTTCTATACATTTGTCTGTAACAAAGTCCGGGAAAAAATACAGAAAAATATATTTATACATTACAATCACTCTACTATACATAATTACTATCTAGTTTTTGTTTTAGACCTCCAGGTACTTGTCTGGGTCAGTTTATTCGGTTGCATATAGCATTTAATTACATGTAACAATTAATGAATGAGGTTGAGTATCTTATGAAGAATTATGGAGATCGAGGAGGGTGCGGCCGAGGCGGATAACACTCTCCGAGATCTCCATAATTCTTCACATGATACGAAAGCCGAATTCAATAACTGCTTTACTATTCATTCAAAATAATTCCTAGTATAAAAACCTCGCTAAGGCATGCTTACCTCCATCAGAAAAGATGGAAAGTATGCTGTAAAGCAAGCAAAGAGATTAATAACACGGTACTCCTGACACATTTAGTAGTTGTGGTCAGTAGTTTTCGTTGTGAATGTTTTCTTCCAAATTCCTTCTTCCTCTTTACGCAAAAAGCGGAAAGAGGTTGAAAATGAAGAGAATAATTATATAGATGGCCTGCAAAAAAAGCTAAAGTGAACGTAAAAACTATATAAAAGTCAGGGAATTTTGAACTTTCTGATGAGTGGCAACACTGACATCATACAGTAGAACCCCAAGATCTCAGCCTCATTCAATAATGATTATAATGACAATTTATTGTTAGTATGTTATTGTCTCCTTCCTTGTCCATAGTGTTGCCAGACGACTTTCAGCAAGCAAATGTTGTCCCCCCAGTTAAGAGTTTATGTGCAAGTGGTGAAGTGGATTGTCAAAATAGTGTTTGTGAGGATTCAGCATCTTCCAAAGTCTTAGACGTAGATGAAGTAGGCGATTTATTTGATCAATCTGATTTGCTTGAGGAACTAAGGGAGTTAAATAACATGCAAGAATCTTCATCAAAGTCTAAAGATGACAGCAAAGCAGAGGAAAAGTTATTTCCAAATTCTCAATTGTCTGTTAAAGAAACTGTCATCTTGCTTTTGGGCATTATCACAAGGCATCATCTCTCTGGTGTTGCTCTTGATGACATTTTAGCCTTAATCAACCTTATTTGTCCCAAAGAAAACAAAATGCCCAGTGATGCTAAGGAGGTTTTTTCCTTTTTTCAAACACAATCACAAAAAATCATAAAACATTTCTATTGCCCAAACAAGAATTGTCAGGTATATGCTGGTCATGCAAAGATATCTGAACAAGAGAGCTGCGGTGTTTGCAAATCCAAGTTAAAAGAGGAAGCAATGTTTCTTGAAATCCCCATACAAGATCAACTAAAGACTGTCCTCTCAGGTACATTGTGCATGGATACAGGTCAGATTAAATTCAGGTTAAAATTTTTTAACCTCTAGGTTGATTCTCAATTTCCCTTGTCTCTTAGCCCTAATTATTCATAACTTACGCCTACATGTATGAGACAAAGGAAACTGACCATCAACCTAGGTTAAGAATTTTTAATCTGAATTTAATTTTAACCTGCAACATATATTTTGATGCTTGAAATATTTGTGCATGCAAAAAGGTTGTTGTGTAGTATGATTTTCCATTCATTGGATACACTGGAGTGAATTTTTATTTTACGAATAAGCATAAGAGATAGTCTGTCGGCACTCTACCTATATTTGTGTGTCAACTACTATAAAATGTGTTAGCGTAGCATTTTAAGGGTTAAAATTTGACCAACACTTTGTGGAGCGAGTTCTACGGTCACGATTGCCTTCAAACTTGCAGGTGTAAAACTAGAGAGCTCTGAGGCTTTTTTGCTGAAGTTAGGGAAAAATTTGTAGTGGGATTTCGAAGTTATTTATGTTAGACTGTACAATGATGATGACACAGTAAAGGTTTTATGATTGTGTAAAATGTGGCACCCTTGCCAGCCAAGGACATTGATTACAATTTGTTGATTTCTGGTCGGGCAACTGACTCACTGTAAAGCAAGTAGTAAAAAGTGATTATATTTGCTTTGAAATCTTCCAGGGCCAGGTGTCATTGAAAAACTGAACTACAGATTCAATCGAGTAAAGCAAAGTGAGACTGCCATTGAGGACGTGTATGATGGATGCCTCTACAGGAAATTGTCTGCAAATAATGGCTTTCTAAGTAGTCGATCCACACAATATCTCCTTGCTTGGAAACACAGATGGAGTGGCCTTGGTGAGGTCAACGAGGGCAGGAGTGTGGCCAGTGTATTATGTGATAAATGAGTTGCCACCCAAAGAAAGGTAAATGTTTATCCGTAAAGTGCATTATGTGATTGACCAGAATAGTGGAATTTAGTGTAGTGAATTTTACATTAGATGAACGTGGAAGCACTGATCATTTCAGTGTTAATGGAAAAAGTACACATAACTAGGATGAATAAAGAATGACAACCATCAATATTACTATAACCTATTGCTGCTGTTTTGTGTTCCTTTTTTTCTCTCTCTTTCTCTAGATTCAGCAGGTCAAACAGGCTATTTGCTGGAATATGGTTTGGGAAAGGAAAACCTCATTTTCCCACATTTATGAAGCCATTTTGCCAAAGCATAAGAAATTTGTACCTGAAAGGTTAGTGTGACAGGTTTAGAGTTTAAATAGTAAACAAGTGGGTGGGGAAGGCTGTGCAATATAGTGCAAAATAATGCAAAATGGGCTGGTTTTTTTTGCAGTCCAAGTCTAAATTTCAAATTTTCATCATCATACAATACATGTAATAATGCAAATATTCATTTGAAAACTGATAAAAATATATTTTATGAAAAACGTGAATAGTAGTCTTGACACCATATACATTCAAATTATCCCTTTATTACAATAGCCTTAACAATTTACAACTGTATGTGGACAACATGAAATATAATGCAGCCAGTATAGGAATGTGTAACTTATAATATTAATGAGTAGACCTGTTTGTTTTGGTACTTATAGGTATTGAAATACCCAAAGTTGAACACACCATTAAAGGTATCCTCCTGGACACAACAATGGACTCTCCTGCAAGATCTTCTTGGTTAAACATAAAACAGTACAATGGGTACAATGGCTGCTGCACTTGTACTGAGCCAGGGGAACAACTGGACCTTGGACCTGGAAAAAAGAATGCTAGACGCCAATGCCATGTTTACCCCTTTAATAAAAGCTTTGCACAAACCACTGGGCATGCCAAATTTAGACAGCACGATGAAGTCAAGAGTCAGGCTCTAATCGCCATGTCCCAACTTTCTGAGAGAGGGAAGGTTTCTGTGAGTATCCCTCTCTATATAACTAAAGTTAGCTAAGCTTAGTATGCAATTAACACAAACATAGACTGCTCTTTCACACCCATGAGTGCAGTGTTACCCAGGGTTTTCTTTAGGTAGGGCAAACAAGCATAGGCTGTACTTTAGGTGGCACACCCATGAGTGCAGTGTAACCCAGTGTGAACTTTAGATAGCGCAAACAAGTGTAGACTGTACTTTAGGTGGCACACCCATGAGTGCAGTGTAACCCGTGCAGTGTTTAGGTAGAGCTTAACATCATACACTACACCAGAAGGCAACAGGTTTTCAACAAAACTTGGTGAAAAAGAGCTATAATAAATTGCCATCTCAAATATTTCTTTATCAAACATGGATACATTGTTTTAATGCTCAATTTATAGCCTGGAAAGAACTTATTGTCTGGAATAGAACCTTAGCGAAGTAGAACAATTTACAACAGTTATACCCTAGCTAAATAGGTCCATTCTTGAAATGCTCTTCCTGGCTGTGGCTGCTTAATGGGGGTTTTAATCAAGCTTTTGTTACTATTTGTATTTTAGAAACCAGTGGAAGGAGTTCTTGGACTGTCCTGGGCATTTTCACTACCCCTGCATGATGTTGTTTCTGGCACTGCTGTGGACTATATGCATTGCATCTGTGAAGGAGCCATTGACCAGCATTTAAATGCTTGGTTTGAGGATAAATCGGGCAACCAGTACTTGGGAAACAGTGTGAGTGAGGTGGACAATGCATTGCTGTCTATAAAGCCAATTTCTGAGATAACGCGGCGGCCGAGAAGTTTATCAGACTGGAAACAATGGAAAGGTATGTACACATGGCAGTTTGCTTGCATAAATGCATATACAATGTACTTGTGTGTAACATATACATTTATCATTAATAAAATATTGTTCAAATACACTAATTTTACTTGATTGTTCTGGTCATATCAGACCTTGCATTAAGATAGTGATGAGATGCAGATGTGATTGAGTCCATTTTCTGTTTCAGCTAATGAGAAGAGGGCATTCCTTCTCTATTATTCACTTCCATTGCTGTTTGAAAGGCTAGAGGAACAGAGTCTTTTACACCTGGCCTTTCTTGTTGGAGGAGTTTATCGCCTATTGAAGGACAGCATCCCTGAAGCTGACTTGCAAGAGGCTGGCGTCTTCCTAAGACTTTACTGTGCACAAGCACCATACTTTTACGGTGAGTGTTCTGACTGCCTTCATCTTGTGATTTTCTATGGAGGTGTGCAGGATTATGTTTGATCTTGGTGGTATATAGCCATACACATTTTAGGTGGATGTATGCACATGTAACTGTATAAGCTTACATGTGTGATTATTAATGATTTTGTTAACTACAACAGTGTAATCAGTCTTTGAAATGGTGTGTACAATGCAGTTAATTGTAATTATTTCAGTTATTTTGTTTCAAATTCATTGCCATACCAAAGAAACAATGGAAAAATGAAAATTAAATGAGATAATTATAATACTTATAAGAGATAATTATAATAATAATAATAATAATAATAATTATTATTATTATTATTATTATTATTATTTACATTACTTGCATATTATTCATATTGTTGTTATTTTTAACTGAATTTTCTTTTTTTCATTTTAAAAAATAGGTGAAAGGTTTCAGACATTTAACATTCACCAAGTGCTTCATTTGAAGCACACTGTTCAAAACTTAGGGCCTCTGTGGTCCAATTCATGTTTTCCTTTCGAAGACTACAATGGCGACTTGACTGGGTACTTCCATGGCAGTCAAAACATCCAAGGACAGGTTAGGTGGATATGTTTCAGGGCAAAATTAAATTCAGGTTAAAATAATTATTGTTTACCCTAGGTAAACAATCTATAAGTCAACTTCCATTGTCTCCTAATTCAAGAATATTTAAGGCTACAAGAAATAGGAAATTGAGGATAAAACTAGGTTAAAAGAATTTAACCTGATTTTTATTTTGACCCCTACCAGGTACATTTAGATAAATTTGTCCTAGTTACAGTCTAGTATTATTTTTTGATTAAATGTCAGCACTGACATTGTAACCTGCAACCAGGCACATTTCTGTTGTTGTTTGTTTATGAGTATGTTTTGTTTTCTTGTTGTTGTTTGTTATTTTGAGATAAGGGGAAACCAAGAAAGACAATAACAGAGATGATTAGTGGAGATGGGAAATAATTTCCCTAACGGAACTAAACTTACCTAGTGAAGGCATGAACTTTACTTGTGGAGAAACAGATGTAACAAAGCAAAAACAAAAGCGTTTAAAGCTGTTGAGCTACAAAATAGTTAATTACATACAGGAATGATTTTTTGCAGAAGGAAGTAAATTAAACACTCATTTTCAGGAATATTTTTTGAATGCTACTTTCTTGCTAACTTGACCATATTTTTTTTCAACCAAGACCTTAGTCACAGTATTAAGCTTTTGGGTCACATCCATACTATAATGCAATCATGGTACATGTAAATGCATGGACAGCCAATATGCTACTCATCTTTGAATCCAAACTTTTTTGTTTCAAAGGTGGTCATAGCCCCTCATGTGTAACTGCATCAATGTGTTTTTTTAATTGGCAATATTATTTATAACTGGCAACATTGTTTTGACTTGAGGTGAACAAAATGCAATGTTGAACAAAGCTAAAGTTTGGAGCATTGTTGCACATGTATGAAATTAAAAAAATAATAAATGCTGCCTTAAAATCTTAGGCAAAATCTTTAAATGAGTGATACGTTTTCTTTTAGATTGTCAAATCAGTTTGTGTTCATCAAAGTCTACCACAACTAGCAGAATCAATGCCTGAAGGTTCTGATGCAAAGAAATTGTACCAAAGTCTGCTGTCAAAGTCCTATACATGCAGGTAAAATCAGTGATACAAATTGATGTACCTTAAAGTAAGCCATTGTTATTTTGTTGTATTGTATACACTTAATGCCAGATCCCAAGGGACCTGACGTTAAGTCAGTTTTCTCATATTTCTAGACTTTCACTTCAACAGCGACAAAACAATAACCAGAGTGAATCAAAGCAGTTGACTCGGTTCTTACAAGAACACAAATTTCACTTTCAAAACAACTAAATGAATGCATGATTTACAAGAAAGTACTTTCTTTATATTATCTGCATCTTTTTCCTGATCTACTAGCTGCTGTTTCTCTTCTGGGATAACTTTGAAAAACGTTGCTATTTAGCTTGAGGCTTATTCATGTTAGTGTTGTTGACTCTTGTTGAGTGTTCATCCCTGAAAGTGAAAACCTACAGTGCTTTTCCTGCCTTCTGTCACTCCACTTTCTATCATGCTCTGATTTCACATGCAGTAATGTATCCTGAGCGGGGTACAATTCCTTGGATGTATCACAATCGAGATTCATTTGATTTTAGTCAAGGCCATGTGACCAAGAATCAGCCAATGGCAGGCCCTGTTTAGTTGAGTGAAAGTCTAAGAATATAACCATGGATATTAAATCAATATAAAGATGAGTTGAGGTTATCTATATAATGGCAACATAAGGATTTTATTCGCTATCTGACTCACATGTATAGTAGGTCCCCAACTACCTTTCCTTACATGTATTTTTATGGTATATAGGACAGTTGGGGAGCAGATATCTGAGGAAATCTTTGTTATTGGATCACTAGAGCGCGTTTGGGATACTTGCCATTCTCGTCAAAGTCTGTTAACTGTGAAGGAGAGGGAAATTATTGGAGCAGCATCCAAGATCTGGGTATTTGGAAGAGCAAGAATCAATGGTGCGGAGTACCAAAGTTCATTTTACAAGCGAACTAAAGCTCGGAACAATTTTACTGTCGTATATGAAAGGCGTGGAAAAAGTCTTTATGGTTCAATTGAGAAGTTTGTCAAGTACCAAGAGAAGTGTACTGCTATGTCATGTCTAAATTCCAGATGTTCTTGTGATTTACCCTTTCATTATATTGTGTTACTAAAAAAAATGAGGAAGCACCCTTCTCAGCTTCCCATGTATAAGGGAATTGAAGTAATCAAGCACATTAGACGGGTCATTGTTGCAGACAACCCCATTGCTGTCCCATTCACGTGTATAAAAGCAAAATGCATGAGGATTGAGGTTGATACTGCTAGTGTTTATGTGTGTCATCTTCCCAATTGTTTTGAGAAGGACTGAGGTATGGAGTACTTGTACTGTAATAATTTTTATTGAGTAAGTGGCCTGTGACATTTGTTCCACCCTGGATATGTGTTCATGTGCAATTGCAAACAATGGTTGTTATAGCTCATTTCCATTAGTGTTTGACAATGTAAGACATGCATTAATATTTGAACATTTGCAGATTGGTGTTTTTTGTTTGTTTTTTGACAATATATTTTTTTCTTTTTCATTGCATCGCTTTATTTAAATTGGCAGTATGTACTCCTTATATTTAAGCAGTCTGTTTCAATATACATTGAAACTGAAACAATGAAACAATACCAGTAGCTGTTGAGGTCTACAAATGTAAATACAGATTTGAACTAATTGAACTCTGTAATAGTCTAAGTGGATGTGTGCCCAGGATATGATTCAAATAAACTTCAAAACAGTGTTTAAGTGCCCTTTTAAAAAGAATTTTATAAATAAGGTAGAAGTTGCGGCTTTAAAACAGATTTCTAACAGTGTATTTGAAATCATTTTGTAATGGTCTGAGTATAAGTATCCCAAAATACATTGCAATAAAATTATTGCACCTTCAAAATATTAATATTAATAGTACGTGTTATATAATAAGTACCCTATTTGAAAGTATTTAAATTAAGGTCAGCATTTGATGGCTTTAAGCAGGGTTTAAATAGTTTATTTATAATCTGTTTTTCATAGTTAGAGTGTTGTGTACCCAAAATACAATTCAAATAGACCTCAAAGCAGTGTTTAAGTACCCTATTTAAAAGTATTTAAAGTACGGTCAGTATTTAAGGTCTCAAAACATACTTCAAATAGTCTATTTGAACTCTGTTTGTAACATTGTGAGTGGATGCATCTCAAAATACATTTAAGATACGACTCAAAACAGTGTTAAAGTACCCTATTTAAAAGTATTTAAAATACAGTCAGCATTTAGACTCTTAAAACATATTTCAAATAGTCTATTTGAACTCTGTTTGTTACAGTGTTAGTGGATGTGTTTCAAAATATATTTTAGATACAACTCAAAACAGTGTTAAACTACCCTATTTAAAAGTATTTAAAATACGGTCAGCATTTAAGCTCCTAAAACATATTTCAAATAGTCTATTTGAACTCTGTTTGTAACAGTGTTAGTAGTTATATGCCCAAAATACATTTCAAATACCCTATTTTAATCATATTTATTAAACAAAATACATTGTAAATTGATAAGAGAGGTTTTGCTTTTGATGAAATATAATTTAACTACAGTTAATATATATTTCAAACAGGGGCGAAAATTTAAAATTTTTGGTAAAACAGGATTAAAATACAGGAAAATAGTGTTAAAATACTGAAACTACATTTTAAATACTTTAAAATCAGTTTTAAAATACATTTGGTTTGGTAAGGGTAACCTTCTGAGAAGCTTCTGTCTGGGAAAAAGAAAGCAAGCGTCAGGGAAATCGATTAGGAATTATCAATCACTTCCCTTCAAAACTAACGCGTAACAGACTTTTCTTTTTGGAAAATATTCGTGTGACGTATCAATGGATGACGGCATTTGTACAGATTAGGCGGTTTCTTTCACCTACACTAATTTACATTGCCCAATCAGCATCGGCTTTATTGTTTAAAAAGGAAAAAATAGTAATGATCATTTACAAAGTGCACAATAGCAAAAATTTTTTCCGGGTTGCGAGTATAAAATTCCTTGATTTGGGCCAGTTGAGCCAACTAGGATCTGCACAATCCAAGAGAGGTAAATCCAAGAAGGTTTTTCTCAGAAGGCTTCAGAGTTTGCGGGTAAGGTTGTTCTTGTAAGCACTTTTTCGATAACGACACATTTCTTATTTGAGTTTGAATGGTATCTAGGCTAGATCACTGCAGTATTTGACAAATTCTTTATACGTAACTTCAAAGCTTGACTTTTGATACAGATTACAGATACGCGGCCATTATCCACCTTGTTAGCCGCTTTCCGAAATAGCTGGAGATACTGTTCTCTAGAAAATTAAAAAAAAAGAATTCTACATTCACGGCCTATTAAAACCTTATTTCTGCAGGCAAGCAAAAAAAAGTTTGCAAGTAGGTACTATTAGCATTCAATCACTGGATATGGGTTCCAAGTTATTTCGATTTGTTTTTCTTGGACACAATAATGGCCTATACGCGATTTAATTAATGTAACAAAAGTAAAATAACGTTTTCAGTCAAAAAAACTATCTCATCTAATAGTTTTTCAGGTCTATACGAAAACTACGGAGCGTTTTGCCAAGTAACTTGTTTATGTATGACGGGCATTAAAATGAAAGATCCTTGTGAAGAATGAGAAACAAAACTTAAAAGTATCAGTTCTGCGTCCCATACTACGCGCTGTATATGTAGTATTATAGCAAAATGCTTTCATTTTGAAATGAACTTCAGGTTGTGGTTTACGTAATGCTGATTATTTAAACTCGTATTAACGGTGAGGTAATACAAACAAAAGTATTCATGTCTTTTTTTCTCTTTTTTTCGTCTGTTAGTACAGAACATTGTTTTACCGGTTGTTATTGTTTTTCATAGTAATGCACAATATCATCAGTTGATGAGGACTGGTAAAATGACTTTTCAAGCCTTTAGTGTGTTAAACTGACCCTTAAAGCTTAAGAAGGCAGTTGAAATGCTGATGTTACTGATGACCGCGTTTGAGTATTATGATGTTACATTTTGTGAATTCATGAATGTTAAGAATCCTGAAGTTTTCCTATCTAGTGCATGATCGTCCAATTTCTTGGGCCTTCGTTACCGATCTTCAGGGTCAAAGAATTCATAATACACTGAGGTTGAAGAAACTTATCGAAATCATTTTTCCTTTTTTCTCGAGAGTGCCATTGGCATATTCCCTAAGGCCATCCAATATTAGAACCGTTCTTATATCATCTATTCAACGTGTGCTTCAAAGCATAACAGTGACTAACTTATGATAAAGAGTTCTGCTCACTGAGGCGTTAAGCGTTATCACCACGGATACAGATATCAATACACTTTCAAAGAAATGAAATGGGGGTGGGAATGACGACACGAAATAAGCCCTGGAGTCAAGTCTACTGCCTAATGCAAAAATTATGAAATTTATCTTAAACAATACCATAGGTAGAAATATCCTGAAAAATTAATCTAGACTGAGTCAATTTCGGGGCCTTGCCTGAAAGCGAATGTCTGTAAAAGGATACATGTGCAGGGGAAAGCAGATACTTTCTCTTTTGCTAATATATTGTAGTATTTCACATGCTTATTCAAACCACCACAAGGCGTAAAATAAACACCTAACGAGTGGCTGACCCACCGTTTTTCAGTTTATGCACTTTCAATCTCTGACTGGCATTTTTAAGGTTGTATATATCCCATGATTTTGGCGTAAAATATGTTTCGCGAACCTGAGCTGCTATACTGAAATGACATATTTGTTCGGCCTCGTTTTCAGCGTTTTATAGTTTTCCATCCTTTTAATTTGCGGTCGCTGCGTACGATTTAACTCGCTCTCCACATCTGAACACCTGAAACAGGCTAACATCATGGCGTAAATGATCAATACCATCTGAACTCGAGTCTGCCGTGGAAATATTTTACAAACAAGATATTAAATATGCCTTTCTCGAACGCTTGTCTAGTAGTTTTAAGCGTAGTTTCCTGAATTTTAACAAAGACGTCAAATCAAGTCTAAATCACACAACCTCCGGCGGTGAATTCATGCAATGAATTAAAACAGTGGAAACTGTTAACCGAGCGGTTTATAAAATAAGATCAATATTAATCGGCAAAATCAGTCAAATGCAAGAACCCCGAATGGCCTCGATATCGATCTGTAGACTATTTCATAAGTTTTCGCTTTTAGGCAGGATAATCACCATTTCACCTTCTCGTAACTTCCAAGAGTGTACAGTGTAAACTTAACTGATATGATGTTATGCAAGCTTAAACATGGTCCTGGCTTAGAAGTTTTCAGGAGGTGGATATAGCTTATCTCTGGATAAGGATCTTATTCATTCTCAAGTAGTTTAAGGCCTGGGACTAAGAGGTTTACCTGTGGACTCTGATTTAGTGGCTATAACTTCGGCACCGATTATGAAGCTCTCTTGAAGCCACATCAAAATTTGGCACACATAAAGAACTCACCTTCCTTAGCATTTTAAAATATAAATATCGTGTTAATTAAACACGTGATATGTCACGTGACCATTTTTATCAAAAGTTGTAAATTATTGACCAATTGGTGGCCGTTTTAAGAAAAGAAATCCCGCAACAAATTAGTATGCTTAAACATTTTAGAGTGCTGAAAATGCACGTACACTTGAAACAGAATCTTTTTTATTTGTAAATACATAACATGCAGACTGTAAACAAATGCAAGTGGGATAATTCACAATTACATTTTGTTTTCTTTATTTCCTAATTTTGCATTATTGTCTGATTAGTATTCATATTTTCGATTATCCGGACTCTCGATTATCCGGACTGTTGACTCAAGTCCAAACGAGTCCGGATAATCGAGGTTCGACTGTATCTTTTTCCTCTTTCAGAAATGCTACTTTGTTTATCCAACCAAAGTAAATTCGCACCAATTTACAAATTTCCTTCATTTTCAATTTTTAGTCACTTGACATGTCACCATAATTAAACGTTGGGGCCCAAAAAAAAATTCGGTTCTCCTAGCAAGAGTTATTGCCATCATTCATATGATCCGACCACACATTTGACTCAGGCCTTAAAATTCCTTGAGTATTTGCTTATTGAAAATATAAAAAGTGAATACGAAATAAAACATGTAGAAATTAAGAGTATGAAAAAGGTGAATTTTATTTATTTTGAAAACTTTTACAAATCTTTTTCCGTCCAGGACCAAAATCTGAATCATTATCAAACACCTGATCAAAAACAATATTTTGGCGCCATATTTGCATCAATATCATTAAAATACTAACTTAAAAATAATTCAATTGTTTTTCAAGTCAACCATGACAAGACGCTTACTGGTCAGTTTGGTTTTCCTGCTGGCCATAGACTTGGTTTCAGCGTACGTCATTGAGGATACATATTCTGGCGCGGAAGAAGTATTAGATGCTATTTCTAATCTGGAAGACGTACAGGAAAGAAACTTACCCAAAGAGCCTCTTGTACACATCCCCCGCCTGAAAGAAAAACACAAGGACAGCCTCCTTGAAGTTAGTCAAGAAGATGCTTTCCAGACCATCAAAGAAAGGGCTATGGAACTGGCCGCAAATGAATGCAACATAACTGTTAAGGAAAGGAACCTAAAGAAGGAAAGAGAATCAGCCTTGAGACCTTACTATCAGGCTTATCAGCACGGAAGCAAGAATTTTATGGCCGAAGAGGAGTATAATGCTGCCGCGAAGAGCGAAAAATGCAGCGCATGCGTTCTGAATACTCTGTGCAACGAGACAGCAATTCGGCAACTGTTGAATATTGACCCCAGCCTCTCTGAGTGAGTATAACATATTTACATTTACATACAATTTAGATTTACTAATTTTAACTTGCGTGTACATTAAGGAGAACTGATTAGTAGTTTGGTAGTGTAAATGTCAAACCCTACATGTCATGGTACACACGTAATTGAAGAGGTAAGAAGAGACAAAATAATTACACATAAAATCGTGTAATGAGAAGAAAGGAACATTGAAATGAGTTGATTTATTCTAAAATTCCATAAATCTAAGAATGAAATTTATATGCCTATTCAACCACATGCAGCCCAACTTTTATTCATAACTACAGTCGACTCCCGATAACTCGAACCTTCAAGGGAAATCGAAAAAAGGTTCGAGTTATCGGGAGTTCGAAGAAAATAGCCGAGAGTAAGGCAAACTTAAAGTTTAAACTGCACAGTGAACATTTTAATCACATTTAATTGTAGAAAAGTCGAGTGAAAATTAAAGATACTTCTAGATTATAAATCAGAACGTAAAGTAACAAAACATAGCCTAAATAGAGCATGCGTTTTACTGTTTTGAGAATTAAAAGAAAAGCTGCTTCACGTTAGCCTGTGACAATCAACATCAGCCTCCACTAGTAAAATATACTCCTACAACACGTCAATAGGAAATCCAAAATTCAATGTTTTGGACGCCAGTAGACGGCTTTTTTCCCGACTCTTTAAGGGTTCAAAACATGGTTCGAGTTATCGAGGGTAAAATTATGTAGAAAATGACCTGAGGGGAAACGAAAATTGGTTCGAGTTAGCGGGAGTTCGAGTTATCCAGGGTTCGAGTTACCGAGGGTAAAATTACACTAAATGTATGACGGAAATCCAGGGGAAATCGATTTTGGTTCGAGTTAGCGCAAGGTTCGAGTTAGCGAGGGTTCGAGTTATCGGGAGTCGACTGTACGAGTGGTCTTATATTGCGTAATCCTCCAAATGAGCGTGGCCTAATGGGAATTTAGGTAAAAATCCAGGAAGATAAATAATCGCTGGAATTCTCAATAAAAAACACCTTACCATTCCAGACGCAAATTGAGTAAACTTTCCTACTAATCGGTTGAATAGACGTACAAGTTTCATTCCTATTTAGGTCATTTTAGAATACCCAAGTCAACCCCAGAGGGGGGAGGGGGTACTCCGGTGACGGGGGCTAACGAATGGGAGCAAAACTCAAAACTCAAACAATCCCTAGGGCTTCCAACAAAACCCCAGAAAACATGGACCAAACATTAACCCCCCAAAAAATCCTATGGTAAAATTCCGAGCCTTAACTGAAGTTCCAGATGCAATGAAATGAATTATAGATGACATTACAGCTGCCCCCGCTCTGTATATTGTTGGTCAATAGTATTATTGTTCGTTGTGTAGCTCTTTCAAATATATCGATTCATAAAGAAAATTTTCACACATATTCCATGCAATAGGTGAGATAAAAACAGGAAACGCAAGGTTCCCTGCTCTTATTCACTTCGATTTACACAGCTTTGATCCAAACATTCTCAGTTTCGAGAACAGTTTATTCTAAACCATAAGAAAAAAATTAATTAGAAGTTGCAATTTTTCGCTATTTGTCTTTCACTCTTTACATAAAGTTCATTTTATTTGCCGGAATGTAAGCCTTAGAAATTCAAAGGTTTGATCAATTTACGCTCGCGCGTTTAAGTCTTTTTTTAAATTTCATAGGACATCTGTCATGAGCATGGAATAAGTCAGCACAGAATTTGGTTGTCGGCGAATTTCTGTAATCGTCCATCGCTCTACTAGTGATAAGCTATTAGTCATTCACTCTTCTTGCTTGTTTGTGCACTGGGTCTTATTCCCTCAAAGAGAGAGAAAGAGTGTCTGGCAAATTGTTTCCAATCAAAGATTTGTGAACTCGTGTCAGGCAAACTCTCCAAGTGTTTATATATACACAGTTATACGCACCTTATAACTTCAACTGCGCTTAACGAGTGTCTTTTGGTCCATAACTTTCAAAACAGCTGCTCCACAGAATGTCACTGATAACACGTAACGCAAAAGAGTATTGAAGTATGACTGTACAATAAATGTCACAGAATCTACCTAACCGGTCCATTCGGAATTTTCTGTTTTACGTCATCCTAACCATCTCTTTAATACTTGCGGGCGCGAACAACAGAAACGTCATCATTACCAAACGAGTCCATGCGGCCCCTGTTCAAGCAAATAGAGATTTTTTCTGACATAGTGACTGCATATTTCAACCGTGAAAGTGCTTTTCTTAATATACGCGCGAGCTACTAGAGTACCTCCTCGAGATCTCCCCTTCTGGGCGAAAACCCTTCGGGAGCAATAATAAAACGGCCGGAAAACAAGTTTGGTTGTACTTTATTGCCAGAACTACGCGGCCGAGATACGGGGCACTACCACGACTCTTTATATTGTTTTAAATACCCCAAAAAAATCACTACCGTGACTTAAATCAAGCCACCAAAAAAATACTTGCAATTGCCAAATTTTCCTACCCCAAAAAATCCCGGAATGGAAAATTTCAAACCCAAAAAAATCCTTCGATCATCTCCCTCACTTGAAATCCGTAGTACCCCCAGGGGAAGTCAACTCATTGCAATGGGCTTTTCTTTTCATAACACGATGTTACTTTCCCTACTTTCGAAGAGGTAATTTCTTTCCTCTTCACAATTATAGGACATATTCTGAGAGCTTCGACTGCCTGTGACAATCACCGCTACTTTCGAGCTTAAGCAAAGACCTTTTTTTTGGCCAAGAAACTTTTTGTACTCCTAGATGCTTCTAAACGTGTATTGCAAAGTGTTTTTACTCTTATTCAGACTTATAACCTGGGCAAAACCACTGCCCAAGAATGCAAAACGTCCACTTCCGGTTGACGGGCGACTTGCTCAAAAACGCCTTTGCTTAAGCTCACTATTGTTTGTTATTTTGTTACAAGAGCATGGACCAGAAATGAGATGGTAGATAGCCAACTACGGCTAAACAAAAGTTTAATTAGGGTTACTATTACAAGCGCGAGTGGAAGACTGTAAATAATAAATTACTTTTCTAAAAATAATAACAGGCTGCACTGTTTAAGCACACATATCGCACGCTTATCAAATTTATGAGAAAAGAAAAGTTGACTCGGCTGGAAAGGTGGGCCGTCTAGCTAGCTGGGTCGCCCTTTTTCGATGTCAAGGTCACCCCCCTAGCCAGTACAACTTCTCTCCATATAAACACTTTGGCTCGCCCAGCGAAGTCAACTAGGCCAATGTGATGCGCAGGCGCTGTTGTCAGTTGGAGGCTCGAGTAAAGAGGTGAACTTCAAACGCTTTTTAAAGTTGATTCAGTTGGGAGGGTGGCTCCTCTCGGCGTTAACCGAGGCATTACAATACTGCTAAGGAGTGCACAAAAGTCGAAGCGCACCAAGATTCCCATCGCTGTTGGATAACTAATTTCTAGTTCTATAAAATTAAAACAGATTAAGACCAGTGCTAAACAGGTCTCTTTCTATAACTTCCTAATATTATTATCTTCTAACAGGAGCGCACAAGTTAGAAGATGTAAAAGAATCATCCTCCGGCGAGCAATGAGAATTTTTCCTAAAGAAGCGGAATCCATAGAATGTGATAAGGACGCTAAATATCGCACAATCAATGGAACCTGCAACAACCTAAAAAACCCAGAATTTGGATCAATCAACACAAAATTTGAACGACTTATCCCAGCCGATTATGGCGATTGCATCTCAACCCTTCGAGAATCAGTGACTGGTCACCCGCTTCCAAACACCAGAGAAGTAAGTTTCAAAGTTCACGGCAGCAACGCAGACCGCTTAAATCCTAATTCTAGAGTACTGTCCCATCTGGCCATGAACTTTGGACAGTTCATGGACCACGACCTGTCGCTAGTGGAGGCACAGGGGGTTAACTGTGAGCCACCCGAGGACGAGGAAGAACCTGAATGTATCAACATTCATATTCCCGAAGAAGATAACATTTTCCGTGACAGAGATATTACATTTATTGAAATGGAGAGAGAGGCTTTCATCGAACCAGATTCTTTTTGTCAACTAAGAGTTCGAGAGCATCCGAACACAATAACCGCCTATATTGACGCATCTAACGTGTATGGATCAACTGATGAGATTGCTGAATCACTTCGTGCTGCAGACGGCCTCCTAGAGGTCCTGAAGCATCCACATGGCTGCCAATTCAAAAACTTACTGCCTGCTCAAGTCGACGGTTTCTGCCCAACAAGAAATTTTTTTGAACCATGTTTTTTCAGCGGAGACATACGAAACAATGAGAACCCTGGTAAGATAGGCGGGGGCATCCACATAAATTCACCTCTAAGAGGTCCCTGGGTATCAGAGACTTTTCTTGCCCGGATTCCGCTTTCGGGCTTCGCCGCTCGTGGCTTCGGCTTTCCACCGAAGACGTGTCGGCCTGCCGCCGACCCCGAGACTTCTCCGCTGCCCTTGATCATCGTGCGCAAGAAAAAACCTCTGATACCCAGGGTATCCTCATGTCATGAAACACTTTTCCTTTAATTCCTTTCCCGAAAAAAAAAAAGAAGCAGAAAGAAAGACAGACAAAAACTCGAGAGATGAGTAATTTTCTCCTGCAATATTTCGTACCTCCAGTGACGCAATGTTACACTATTAAAACAGGACGAAGAACCCTACTTTAGAATCTATTTATCACCCATTTCACATAAGCCTCCTTTGAGGAAAACAACAGGGAAATCAGAGATTAATTCATCTCCCTCGATCAAACTGTTTAAGAGCGATAGGACTAAGTTTAGGTTGATATTTAAAGTACGCTTTGCATGCATACGTACATTTCCAATATATCTCCAATCCAGCAAGTTCCGTTTTTTGGAGGGTAATGAAGCTCCTGCAACCTGAAATGCTGCTGCATGGAAACAAAAAATTGATCTTTCCTATATAAGATACTATTACTAATTATACAAGTCATTCTCAGTACAGTACAGCAAACATGTGCAGAAATTAAGACCAAGTCCTAAGGTACTTTAATCAGTACCTGAAGAAAAATTAATTGATATTTCTAAACCTACAGGTCTAAATTCGGTCCATACTATATTCGTGCGTGAACACAACCGAATCGCAACATTTTTCATAAAGAATACAGACTGGGACGCCGAAAAAGTTTATCAAGAAACCAGAAGAATTGTCGGAGCACAGCTACAAATCATAACATTCGGCGAGTTCCTGCCATTACTTTTGAGTGAGCACACGGTAGGTCTCTACAAAGCTGCACCCTACCTTTTTAGCATGTCTCCAGATTTCAGGCAACGGGGATGATCGTATGGGGGCAACAATCAAAACACATAAAATCCCTGGACCACAAGCTAACCCCCAAAATTCCCATGCCTAATTTCCGAGCCTAATAGGCCATTTTACAGTTGTGGGCTTGGTGCCCTAGCCTTTGAGTGAACGTGAGGTTGGGGTTGACCTTGTTTTGATACAAACCTCATTCCTTTTCTAATGGAAATTTTGCTTAAAAATACTAGTTAGCATAACAACAACAAGTTTTGCATAATAAAGCAAGAAGGGTTGTATCAAAACAAGGTCAACCCCAGCCTCGTTTGCAACTGTAACTGTAAAAAGGGCTATTACGTATAACCCTGAATTTGAGCAAGAAGTTAATTTTTTCAGTTCGGGTGTTGTCTGAGTGGTCGAATATGAAACTGAAGAAAGAGAGAAGAAACTTATATCCAGTTGGAATTAACAAAAGTGGTCAGCGAAGCGGTCGCTTACGAGAATGGTCTCAAGTAGAGAGTTGACATGTGGGAAGAAACGGAAATTTTTCGTTGAGGAGAGGAAATAAACGGAGACAAGCAAACTGCAATCAAGCCAAGTGCTCGTGAACTTTCTCTAATACTGAAACAAGAGATCCGAACTCGTTACTCAAAAAAGCCGCTATAAAAACAGTAAATTCGCCACGTAACCTCAAAAGAAGGGAACCTCTAACCATACTATACTCGATAAGAAATTTGGTATTTAAAACTTAAAAAATCTACCCACATCTCTTTAAGAGGCTCCTTGCCGGGTTTGGGGCGCGGTATTCTGTGCCAGAGGTCCTGAATTAAATTCCCAGGGCTGAGCTCAGTTCTTCGTTTGCACCTCTTTCTCTTTCCTTGTAGCTTTGTGAAAGCTTTGTCACGAAATTTATTACAATTAAAACGGTGGGAACTGCCACCAAATGGGGTTAAAAATTAAAATAACCAATCAAAATATTAAAAGAGGGCATAAACATAGTCAATACACTTGAAGAAGATTGAAACGGATGACAATTGCGGTTTTTAAAACTTGTTAGTTTAACAGTTTTTCATGTTATTCAGTACATCCAAGTTCACTTTTAGTTGTTTGTAACGTTTGATATAGTTTGATTTAATGCTTAAAAGACATATTTAATTGCTTGACTCGAAGCCCTGACTTTGTCATTCACAAGTAATTTCTTAAGTTCGAAGACGCGTAATTGGCATTCATTATGAAGCAATGACGGAGAGAGAAAGGTAAATAAGTGCACCGCAGGACTCAGGATTGTAAGCCAGATGATGATTATTTCGAGCTACTAAACCTAAAATAAAGACGAATTTTTCGACCATTTACCTTTAACTTCTTACAGAATACTCTCCTTCTTTACATTTGTATTTAGCTCTACGCGTGATTATGCATAAAACGCAAACAATAAGTTATATTGCATCCGTTTACATAACAAAAAAGGTTTATTTTATGTTTGTTTACTTTCACCACTATTTAGAGAAAAGAACGCGGTCTTGTACTTAGCTTCTTGAGGGAGAGGAGTATTTCACAGGCTATGACAAAGAGGTCAATGCGCAAATATTAACAGCCTTTGCCGTAGCTGGATATCGATTTGGCCACAGTTTGGTTCAAGAGCTTTTCAATCGATTCTCTCAAGATGGCTTTGAACACAAATGCAGCAAATGTAGCAAAGACAAATTACAATTCCAGCCAATCCCAGTACTGGACTTCAATAACCCAGCACCCTTGTACGCTGTATGTAAAGGAGGTGTCGACGCCATTTTGAGGGGCTTACTTAAAGATCCTGCAGCGAAAGCTGACGGGTGAGTGAAGTTATCGGATGCACGTACACGCAGTCCTTTTGATTTGCTTAATGTGCTTGTTTAGGAGAAAAGTTCAGTGTTGCTTTTAGGGTATGCATAGTTGTGAGCCTGATAGATTTAAGACCGATTCGCGCGGACTCAAGAAACTTTGCAAGAGATAATTTAGAGTCAGTTCGAAGGATCCGAGCTCACGCTTGACGGGCTAGGGGAGGTTTTATTATAGCCAAATTCAATTCAAGGAATTATACTGCGTTCTTTCTGTACCTTGAAGACCCTTGAAAAGCTTTCACTTTGATTATGGTAATCAAGTGGTTACAACATACTCTGCATAGGCGATGAATAGATGCAATCGGCGCCATTATTATACACTCTACTCACTACCCGTCTTCTCTTTGGGTAAGAGCCTATAGTTAGGAAATCACCCAATTCATTGCAACCCACAGAGGGTCACTGAACTATAGGTTGCGCGCGCAATGCACTATATTTAATGCTCCCTTCTTCTATCTTACTTACTGATTAATTTTGTTTGTTTGTTTTGTCGTACAGGCGTTTTTCAAGTTCAGTCCAAGAAAACCTAAGTCGCGGTGAAGGTGATACGTCTGACTTAATCGCTATTAACCTTAGAAGAGGGCATGATCGTGGACTGCCTAGCTACACCAGTTTTCGCCGCTTTTGTGGCCTTCCACTTGTTAGAAGGTTCTCTGACTTGGTAACGGTTGCCAATTTTGACGAAAAGGTCGTTGCAAGATTGCAAGAAGTTTACAAGAGAGTTGGAGATATAGACTTGTTCTCCGCAGGTAAGTCTGGAGTAACGATCGCATTCTTCCCATAATCATAACTATAACAAAATTCTCAAATCTGCTTGGCTATTAGCCTGCACCACAGACGAAACTAAACTATGGTTAAATTACATCTGCGAAAACAGCTAATTGGCTATCAAACGTTCTGATTTCAGCACTAATAGGACAATGTAATTGGACAGTACGCGTAATCGCGACTGCATTTGAATGTTTTGTTGTTTTAGACTACTTGCAGTCCGCCTTTTCTCTAAAATCCGTCTAGTTCTTATCTCAGCAAGCGCGATTGCAAAGCACGACGTTATGTTACAATAAGGGATTGGGACCAGACGAGAAAAGATGGACTGCGGACTCTTTTGTAGTAAACAAACCCTCCGTCAGCCTAGAAACGGAGTAACCGATTGCTCAACTTTACAGCTGTTGACAGATCATTGACTGGTCTGTGGTGGAGACACAAGCGATAAAAATAGTCACTCGTCACAACTTACTACGAACAATTACGAACCTGGTGGTAATCGCTTGTAAACTAAAACGTTTAACGATATCTTACTAAAGGAAACTGCTGTAAATTTCCTCAAGGGAAAGGAATTCAAGGTAATTTTACCGGATTTTAAAAAAGTAAAATTTTTCAGTTGTTTATGTTCTATTTTTACTCGGGTTTAATTGGTTAATTAAATTACCTTGACAGCTTCGTTGTACCCAGACAATAAAAAGAGTCAGAGGTCTCTTATTTTTTTCTTCTCGGGCTTACGCCCTCGTTCATCGCGGCTCGCGGCTTCGCCGTTCGCGTGCTTGGGTTTCACGTGCAGTAACTTTGCAAAGAAAAATAAGAGACTGTTCGCAGTCTAGTTGTTTTTTTCACTGGTAGCAAAAACTCGCGCATTTCTTCTATTTTAATTAAAAAAGACTTAAAACATCACAAATTTCTATAGTTATGATTAATTGGTAACAGAGCTTTGTGTCGTCCTATTCGGTGTGTAATCATATATACTCGTGATTAAACTAACTACATATAGCAAAAATCTTCGCGAATCTGACTAGCCGTTAGGCATCCACGATTGGAACATTTTTTCCATATTTTGATGGGAAAGTGCATGCATTATGCTTGAGTGTGAACAGGCATGCAGTTTACAGTTGTTCTTGTTGTTTTTTGTTTTTGGCTTTTTGGCCTTTTTTTTTCTGGTCAGATTTGGGGCTGAAATGCAGCACAAACAAAGAAAAACTTACAACAATTGAATTGGACTCACTTAATTTGTTATTACCACTTTTGTGGTTGAAAAGTAAACTTCATTTGCTACTTCGATCTCTTCTCAGGAATGCTTGAACCAAGAGATCCTAGAGGAGGAGAACTCAGTGCAACATTTCAGTGCATTTTATCACTTCAGTTCCAACGCACCAAATTGGGAGATCGCTTTTGGCACGAAAACGCACCAAACGCAACCTTAAACACCGACAAGACAGCATTCAACCGTTGTCAGCTAAAAGAAATCAGGAAAACACGCTTTTCCAGGATAATATGCGATAACAGTGATGACATAACCTCAATTCAAAAAGACGCTTTGATGCAGTCTTCGGTAAGGGTCAGTTGCGACGAATTGCCAAAGATAAACCTTAAAGCATGGATTACAGATTGTCCGTCGAGGTAAGTGAGAGGACAGCTGTTCATTTCTTTTAATCAAAATTTTCCTGTTTCTTTCTGGTTGCGTTTGTTACAGAATAAATAGTGATTAGTGGGAAGAAGGTGTTTAAAAATTTGAAAGAAAATTCATCTTCTTGGATGTATGATTATGTCACTTCTTGGGAATAAAAGTTTCAATTTCTACTTTCATAAACAAATGTATCACGGCAATGTTAAACACACCGCCCCCTATGATTTGTTCATTTACTCATTTCGATTTTCCCAAAGTCGGTAGCCCACTATCTTGACTTCTTATGGTAGACAAAAACTGAGAATAGCAAAAATTGCCCATAGGAATACCGAGATGCGATGTTTTTTGGGGGGGTGGGAGGGGGGGCTAGGGCCGAAGGGGGGACAGGGCAGGGGGCTCTCAAAGTAGGCGATCCTTCTTAATCATATTTCACTACTGTACAGGACTCCTACTGACGCCGTCGATAGGCAAAAGCTCGAATTTTTTTTTCAATATCCTTATGATTAAACAAAATGCAAATTCTCTGGACTGTCTAAATCACTAAAGCATGAATCTGATCACAGCAAAAAAAGTTCGATATCACATGCCGATCGCCTCACGTGGTGCTAGCCATTACATCAATCTCGAACAACAAGCCTTAACGTTTAGCGAGACAACCATAGCCTGCCTAGCCGGTCGGATTGTTAGCGCGAGCAAGGTATTGGCAGAAGTGCAGCGAACTCGTGTGGAGAATGGGAAGGAGACGCTTTGAAATTTCACGGCGCATGCCGCGAGAATGGCGGCCACGCGCAAAAACAATTCCGCCAGGTAGGCAAGCCAAGACAACCAAAGAAGTCGTGACCTTCACCACTTCCCTATACCGTATTAACTCGATTAAACGCCGCGGTGTTTATTACTTTATAATTTCAAAATCTCAGTTCTTATATCACTGATCGAACAGTTTCGATATATCATTCATATATATTACAAAACAGAAAGGCGTTCTAAGTCTCGCTTGCCTGCTGAGATAAAATCGTAACTGTCCGGAAGGGTCTTCTGTTTCATTTTTTTTTCCCGGTTAAGATAAACTCAAGAAATTGGCCTGCTTCCAATGAGGTCTTCATAGCTCAGTTGGTAGAGTACCGCAGAGCTAAAGCAGAGGCCATAGGTTCGAATACCGTTTAAGTTCCGAATTTTTTTCGGGTTAATTGCAATTACCACTGCGACGATCATATCTTCATTAAAATGACTTTCTTTTCTTATTATCTTCGAATAAACGCCCCATTCTTCTGACTCGGCACGGCATTTAATCGAGTAAATACGGTAATCAATGTTTGTTTGCATCTATTCAGGGATACTCAAGCAACGGACCTCTCGCGATCCAACGCTGAAGTAAGGGGAGAGGGAGGTGGGAGGGAGGAGTCATTTTCCTAATATTTAAGTTATAATTTCACAAGAGCAGGAAATGTAAATTTTAAAATAGGATACTCTCTCAAAAGCGTTTTCGCAACCGTTGATGTATCTGTGTTCTTTTTTTTCTTCTGCACAGTGACTCTGTGTACAGCGACGAGCCTGAGGACACGCATGATGAGTTTTAAATGAAGAAAGCAGAATCACTCGCTCATCATATGGCTTTCAATTAGACTGCATTTAGGTTAGAAGAAACATATATGTATACCATTATTTTGCACACAAAGTCATGACACCCTTCTTGAGCGAATTGTAATTATATTTTCGAGTTTTTCTTTTCTTTCGATCGGTGAGACTTGACGTTTGATTTTTACACTGAAAGGGGCTGTGACGTCATGGCTATCTAGTTCTTATTGTTTTCGCTATAGATCTTGGAAATTTTACTTGTAAATTACACAAATACCGAAAGCTTCGTGTCAAACAACTGTTAGGAAACATGTTTTTCAAAACCTACGATTGCAATCCGTTTCAATCTCCCTCAAATTTGACCATCCGTGCTTCCGTTTGTATTTACTTTGTTATTTGTACTTTCTTTTAACGTTTTGAGCGGTAAATTGAAAGTTGCTCCCATTGTTTGTTTTGAATAAATTTCGTGACACAGCCAGTCCGTTTGTGTAATAGTTTCAGTAGCAGATCTGGAATAATCAAGGATGCCTTCTTCATAACAAAGGTTTTTGTCAAACAGTGTATTGTATCCACTTCGCGGAGGCTCACTCTATTTGACACAACTTAATGATGCACCCATATTCTTCTCAAAGTGTATAAATAAAAAATGGTGCTGAAATGATGAATTATCACTGTTGCTTTATGGTTGTTATGGGCTGTCCCGAAAGCTCCTGATCGGTACAAGATTTCTCCTAAATTTGTCTTAAATCTGTTTATTGTTCAGGGCTACTGTAGCCTGTGCCAGGCTCTCAGATAATATAGTGGGGACGTATTCAAACGAGCAGAGCGAAAATAAGACCCACGCGACTTGAGAAAGGGGCTGTGGCGGCGGGAAAAATGGGAGAGAGGTTTGGGTTAGGGTTAGGGTTAGCCCCCGCGCGTTTTTCGCATTTCTTTTTACACCTTTTTACTGAACGACTCTTCACCACTATCTTGGAGCCTGGAACAGGCTAGGACTACTGCTGCTGATGATGAGTTCACCAATACCTCGGTGAAAAAACACCAACACCACCACAACACCGCCGACTCTTGTCTGTGAACAGTGTCCTGGGAGTTGGGGAGAGACAAGAGGGTTGGGGGTAGGGTGGGTCTCCCCTCCTGTTCCTTTTTCTTCCCATTTCTTCTCCGTCTGAATTCCCTTATCTTTGTTCTTTCTTGCGTTTTCGTTATATCTCTCACTTAAGTTAGAGAGCCTGTTTATGCTTGCCTTAATACGATTGCAATCTTTTAATGAAAGGAACAGTGGCTGTAGCGTCCTAATCAGTGTTAGATAAACGACCGAATTAAAGGCACAAGGAACATTTGGCTTAATTTTGCACGTTTTGGAACGTTTCACAGGTGTCGAAATTATTGCCAATGAGCTAGGAAAACCCATTTATATTTGTTCTCGCTTTTTTGCAGTCTGGGGCACCCAACGACGGTTTCCTCCTAATCCATTAAAAACACTTTTTAGGTTATCCAGAGTACTTTTAGATCTTTAGAAATGCATTCTAAGCGGCGCTATAAAATTTGGATCTGTTCGGTCATCCTAGGGGAACTTGAGTCTTTCGAAATTACAAGGGCTTCAGTATTATTTTCCCGAAAATTATAGATGCAATGTAAAGTAACACGAAAGTGAGAATTTTACTGATTCCTCTCTCCATCCCATTTTTGAATCCGAAAAGTTAATAGGTTTCCTTCTTTTTACGAAAAATAGCCTAACGCTGGGAGTGAAATGTGAAAAATTAAACTTATAAAATCGTAGGGAATTTATTATATATTAAGCTTCTAAATTAAAATTAATTGTACAGGAATGGAACGGTCATTTAAAAATCTTTAGCCGTCCTAAAGCAGAAGAAAATTTTTAATTAGGCATCATCTGCTTCTCCGAACAGATATTTCACAGAAAACAGTCGTTGGGTGGCCCTGACCAGTGAGGGGCGATGTTTGAAACAGGCCTTTTTTGATATTTCCTCCTTGATACGTGATAAAAGCCAGCGCTTTCATCATGCAATTGACGTTGATTAATTCCCAAGCTACAAGCTTATTGATTATTATACCCTTTGACAAAATTTGAACGAAAGCGGAAAAACGGAGAAACAAAATTAGCCGCTTGGTGTTCTCATTCTGAAAGGCACTTTAGTACAAAACACGTGAGCTCAAAACAGTGGTATGTTTTAGACTTTTCACTTTATTAATGCTTTTTTTTTTTCGGCTTCAACGGGAGGGTTAGTATTTCAATGCTCCGGTAGACCGTTCCCATCCTGAAAGAACCTTGCAAAGAGGCCTAAAGAATCATAATTACATCCAGTTCTAGAATTCCAGTGTATTTCAGGTAACATTTGCATAATTCCAGACTCTTCCATCAAACAATTTCAGAACAGTCTCTAAACAAAGAAGTATTGCTCATTCCATTTTAACTGGCATATAATGTACTTTTTTGTTATATTGTTCACCTCTACAATTGTGAGTTTACTTACTAGGTTATGTTCGAATAGGGAATTAAGGACGAAATAAACTAACAACTTGAAGGAACACAAACTGTGCAAAAGAATAGAACTGTTGTAGATTGCTAAAACAGCTGAGTAAAAGGACAAACTAAAATCAATGTCCGGCGCCATATGTATGGTCTCCTGCAGTTGTATTCTTGTCCCTTTTTATTTTGCACAAAGGCCGCGCACTCGTTTAAAAATTGACTCGCGCCTATAGTGACTACAGTCGCTCCGTTCTCACGACGTAATGTCACCCTGAATCGACCAACGAGCATGTCTATCTGCTCAACATATTCCATTCACTGAATTATTACTTATCTTTAAATCTTCTCGATATTTTTTAACAGAAAGGTCCGCTTGAAGAATGTCGTTTCTTTGCATGCACGCCGACTAAAATATTCAAAAAATGCAGATCAAAACAGGAAAAAAGAGAAGCACCAGCGGTAAGGTTTTGGTACAAGGTAGCCACATTTCTGAGCCGGATAAAACTATAGGCAGTTAAAATTTTTTTTCTTTGGTGGGTTTGAAAAGAAATTTTCCCTTTTCCCAGCTATGTTGGCATGCAACACTGTTCATGAAGACTTTGCCAAATTTTCTTTGCACGGATCACCGATGTTTCACCAAGAGAGGGGAAGGATAGCAAAAACTCAAGACCCGGGGGAGGATTACTAAACAAAGTTTGACACGAGAAGGCTCCGCACCGATATCCAATCCCTTTTATATTCCACGGTACCCCTTTCAAATACCTATACTTCAGGAAACTGTTTCCCTTTGGAAGGAAATTGATAACATCAAAACAAATTTAAAAAAACAGCTCAAAACAAGGCGGTATGATTGAAATATATTTAATTTAAGGCCCCTTTAAACACCTAATTGCCTCCCGTGAAAAAGGTATTCCTTTCGGGCGGGAGCCTACCTGCATAGGAACTTACTCTCGGGAGTAACCCATCTCCCTCCCCCCTGACCTGATTAGACGAACATTTCAATAGATAAGCCAAACATAAAAAGCCAAGAAAATTCTCTCAGAGCTATTTATTGTACCTATGCACGTGTACAAAAAGTGGTATTACAGCTGTTTCGGATAACGCGACCTGCCATGTCTTAGGATTTTGGGTCTTTCTGCGACATCACTTAAACTCTGAAGGCTCGGCGCTATCTAGCGGACCTCTCAGGAGACAGAAGTTTACTTCAACGGGTTCAAAAGGTCATGGTTTGTGATTTGTGACTGATGGATTTCGATCCGTTTTATGCGCGATACGATTGCATTCTCGGGTTTTGATGTTTAACTTAATAAGTTTACAAAGTTACTACGAGTATAGAGTAAGTTTAGAAAGAGGTTGTAATTCTCAACTGTATACTGTCTTTTTTTCACCCAAGTACCACTTTTTAGCGACACTACTTAAACTTACTTATGCTTTGTCGCATTCTAGGTACAAGGCTGATTAAAGAGCTAATGTAACCCTTAAACTGCTAAGAGTCAATCATTTCCCAATCTACCTTTTTCAAGTTTACAATTGTGCCGAACAACAATTTTACTGCAAGCCTGAGAATCAAAGAATCAAAATGGTCTTAAAATCCCATTAAAGACACAAGCCAGCCCTATGCGACAATTGCTCCACTCTCATCCCGGAAAAACTATCCAACTATAACAGCTTTTTTTAAAAACCACAAAAATTAATAAGGAAAATAAGCAACCTCAAAAGATTCCGAACAAAAAACAAGAGTCACAATGGTTTCAATAGAATGACACTCTCCTTCCAAGAGGACATTTGAAAAGGAAAGAAACATCAAGGAAATCAGTATTATGTTCGAATATCTGAACAACTTTTCCTGGTTAAGGAAACATGCTCAGCACAGAATGTTTAACGCTTTGTAATATTCTAGCAATTTCTGACATTGAGCCACCAGCCGACCTTGTCAGACCTTGTACGACAACAGAGCACTCGCACCAAGGAAAAACTGCCCGACTGGAACAGCCTTATTTAAAAACAACAAAATCATAACAACCTCTTAGTTTCTCAAGCCACTAGCTATAATATATATTTCCAGTATCATATAATCCTTCCAATTACAAGCAGACAGTGATTAAATCGAAAATAAACCAGTGGAAAAATGTAATTGTTAAGATCGATTATTTGAGCCACTTTTCTCATTCAAAAGGCACAACAGACACTAAGCTGCCTATTGTATAAATATAGATAGATGACCGCATTCTTTTAACAGTTGCTCTTTGTTGTTCCCACACTTTATTGTCTCATTTAGTTTCGTTTTATTATAAAAGAACAAAAGCCTAACGGCAAAATACAATGTGACGATAATAGATCATACAAATTTTCCGGGTTGCGGGTATAAATTTGTTAACTTTAGTCTAGTTGGGCTCAGTAAATTCATCTACTGTAAGGAATCCACGGAGACGAGTGAACGATTGTGTCGTACTTTTTTCAGAGGGAGTTACTGGTAAGACTTAATCAGGTTAATATTTTTCTTTTATCTTCCAAAACGCAACCATAGCAATTGGCAAAGTTTGATATGCCTTCCTTTTTAAGTGACACCGGTCCAGACAGCACTTTAGACACAAACATCCGCACAAATAAAAGCTGCGAGATGCTTCTTCCCGCCACCAAGTTCCGCCGCTACATGCACAAATAGACAGTGGAAAGAATTCACAATCTGGGAATGTCTTATTCGCCGTATGTATTCTACCATCATCCTGAACAATAAAAATTGCACAGTCATATTGAAATAAAACAATGCAAAAAAACTAAGCATTTAGTTCTCAAAAAACTGTGATCGCTGTGAACAGTATGCCGAGTGTTGGTCTCCAAACAGAAGACAATTACAATCAATGTGAATCGCAGGAAGTTATAAATGTTGCCTAACCAAAGATTTCAAAGATTTCGTTAAATTTAGCTAGTCTGCCTAGTCTAATAGGAAGACGGTCCTTTTCGAAGAATGGGAAAAACTTTAAGTTACGGTTGACGAAGCCTAGTACTTAAGAGATGATCTTAAGATGTTACCGATTTACTGTTTTAAAACGTGGTAGAAACTTCATACATCGAATTATGCTTTGTCCTACCTGTTTTCTTGCAAAATCTACATAGCTGCTTTTTCCTGTCAATGCTTTTGATTCCCTACTACACTACAGTATTCAGAGGTCAAAGCCAGAATCGCTGGTACAAGACCGTCATGTCGGCCGCCATATTATTAAACAACATACTAAACCTACTGGCCAGCGGCATTCCATTTTCTAATTCACGTATGCATTACTCTTTCGTTACTCTGAAAGCACGGATTTATACTTTACTCAGTTTAAGTTAAAGTATTGTCAATTGTTGTTAGATTGAAGTGAAAATGATTGCCTCGGATTTTGTCCGATGAGGGTGAACGGATTCTCAAAAAAGAACGCTGACGTTCAAAGGATGTATTGAAAAAAGATTCCAGTTGTGTTCACAAACGTAACTAACCATAATTTTTGGTATTGTCAAAATTTTAGTGATTTAGGACAGAGTTTAAAAGATCACAATGTAAAGTGTACAATTTGTTAGTAGTTAAGGGCAGAGTTTAAAAGATCACAATTTACACTCACTTCTTTAATTGGTCCTGCTTTCTCTTTAATTATGTCACGAGCGCCGTTCCACACATGACGTATAATTTATGAAAATGCATCAGTTTGCTTTTGTCCAAAAATGCCCCGCACTAACGTCCACTGCCTTACTCCTTCCCCCCCTAAACGTCCAGTTGACGTTAAGCGGGGGAAAAGTGAATATGTCGACAGCCCCTAATTTGTTAACAGCCAAGGCAAAACTGTGTCGTTGTCAGGCCTTCTATGTTTCACAGTATTTTGCAAAGTCCACTCAAACTGAATGACATGTAAACAAGAAAGAATTTCCTTTTTACTTGGGGTTGACATTTTTATGCTGACATAGAACATCTGTTACCAGGTGAGCCGTTTCGCTGTGTTTCTACGCAATTGCTTGGAATTTTACTTAGTTCACTCGAAAACTATAAGTACAGAAAAACCGTCGAGTAAAAACATGTGTTTTTACTGTTTCACTTATCAGGTTTGCGTCTTTTTCCTTTTAATTTAGTTTGTTCGTTTTTTTGTTGTTGTTTTTTGTTTTTTTTCCTTTACAAATTTAGTTTGTTTTTTGCCATATAGATATATATATTATTTTTCATAGTTAAAATAACAAGTATTTATAATTAATTTTTTTTTTGTCAACAAATAAAAAAAATTAAAAAAACCTGTGTTTTAAGAACCTGTTAAGCTCTGTTAGGATAAAATTTGCTAGTTAGAATCTCTCTACACAAGAAACTGTTTAGCCTAAAACCCATTTCTAAAATCTACAAAAATTCTGTAAACTTGGGAGAGTAAGATAAGTCAACAGTTCAGAATCCTCTTCGGAGACGTAGGTGCCTCATCACTCCATCTACAAAGTACATAGTTTGCAGATTTTAAAGTCATAAGGAACAAGCTGAATACCAGACGTAAATAAACCTCTAAGATACAATGTACTTTTCTACGAAAAACGTGGGTTCTCCGAAAATTTTGGCCCAATCTCGAAATCGCTAAGCGTCAGTTTTGACGTGTCTCGAAGTCTCGCTTTCGGATGATTTTTGCGTCATGGAGTCTGGAATTTTTTTACCGAGGGATCTAGGAGTCTTGGATTTGTCGTTTTTTCCTTTCCGTTTGGTCTTAGGAGTCGAAATTTTTAGAGTTCATGGGAACAGCTTATCGAACTAAGCAAGCAGATTATTAAGACACTATCTTCCATCGGCATTTTCGGCCAGTTCTTAAGTTTTATTTGTACTATTATCTCGAGATTTTCGGCGCTTAGAGTCTCGGGCTTGGATTTTTTAGAACCAAAGTCTCGTGCTCAGAATTGATAAGAACGCATAAGTCTCGGTCTCGAATAAACCAGAGTCTCGCAGTCTAGCGAAGTCTCGAATTTATTATTCTAATTACCCCCGTAATTTCTCGCGTGTTTTTACTGAATTCAGACAGAGTAAACAATATCAGCGATCGAGTTCACCAGACAAGCAGGAAAAAACGAATCCAAGCCATCATCATTACTTCACAGCTTTTCGGACTGTCTACCACCCTGACCGATTCTAAAAGAACATCCGTTGCAATTCATTCAGCGTGTGCGTCATAGCATGTAACAAAACTAATTGTTATTTAAGATAAGAGTTGCTTATTTAAGATTAGGTTCGATACCATGGAAGAAACATCAATTTTCAGGGCCCACTATGGTATCCCGTTGCTGGGTAACCCAATGATAATGCACGTGGAAATTGACCTCTGGCTCACGTATTTCGCGCATTTTGGATAGCAGGCCGCGCGCGATTTCTTTTCTTTCTTTTTTTTTTTTCTTTTTTCTTTCTACGAGAGGTACCCCTACTGTTAGGTACCTACCATAACTTTGTGGAAAAGACATTTAACATCAGTAGATTCACCTAGCAACCTTTGATTGTGGCATTGCGTCCACTACAATAGTGGATAAGGTGGTGCGGGAGGGTATGTGTAAATTTGTGTGCGTTAATTTTTAGGAAAAGCACTGATATTGAGCGACCAACAAACTGCAATGCAGCCACGTCCAACACAATGTACGGTGCAAAATAAAATAAAAGGAACTGAAGGGTTGGGGGATATTATAGCTAAACCTTAGCTCAAGGTTTCTAGAGCAAACAGATCCACTAGCTATAACCGTAACAAAATGCCTGCGGTATTGACACATGAAAGTACTTAAAGGTCTTGAAAATAAAAAGTAGTTGAACACTTACTCTAAAATACATCAGATAACCTCTGCAGTAGACAAATTAGCGAGCAAAATAAATGGAAACTCCTCAGCTAGTAGACAAAAATTCCTCTTATTACGGACGTGACCCGCAAAAGGTTGCAAAAAAATATTTTTTTGGCGCTCACGCCAATAGGTAATCGTTAGCATAATGACGTACAAAATGGGAGGAGTCTGGGGATGAATTTATCCCTAATGAATGAAAAAAAAAATGGCTGGGAAAAGGGGGGTTACCCTCCTTAAAAAAATAACTTTTTAAAAAATATAAATTGCCAACCAGAAAGTATAATCACCTATAGTATTATTTCGTTCTTTAAGTGGCTGTTCACTTAAGAGCGGTCCGTCTAGTTTGGGATTGCCAGTAAACCTTCCCTCTATGTTTTGTGGGTGAAAAGGACTTAATGAGGAATTATTAAAATCGAGCTAATTTTTTTCAAAAACTTCGCTACAGCATAAAACTTCTTTCCTGTCTGAGAACGCTTCTTCAACTTTATTCAGTGGCCAAAATTCTGTAATTTTAAAAGCCGCGCTTCTTCGTAACGGATAAATATCGCGAAATTCTACATAGTACAATGGATTTAGCTGCATTTGACTTGTCCTA